GTGTCAAAGCTCACTGAAATGTCCACTTCAAATATGTGTGTTCTACTGCATATAAATTATACCTTAAGAAGGTTGTTTTAAAAACAACATAGGTGGAACTTCCCTGGTGGTCCAGTGGTTAAGACATTGCCATCCTTGGTGGCTCAGCTGGTAAAGAATCTGCCTGCAGTGTGGGAGACCCCGGTTCGATCCCCGGGTTGAGAGGATCCCCTGGAGAAGGGAAAGACTACCCAATCCAGTGTTCTGGCCTAGAGAATTCCACAGACTGTATAGTCCACGGGGTCGCAGAGTCAGACACAACTGAGCGACTTTCACTTTCCAGCGCAGAGGGTGGAGGTTAGATCCCTGGTCAGAGGTAAGATCCCACATGCCTCGCAGCCAAAAACTCAAACCATAAATCAGAAACAGTATTGTAACAAATTCAATAAAGACTTTAAAAATGGTCCACATCAAAAAAATAGTCTTTAAAAATAATAAAAACAACATGGGCAAGAAAAATCCAAGAGCCTGGGGTCTAGATTTGTGGAAGTCATTCATTATTTTCATTATTTTCATGACCTAACTTGAGATGGTCTTGCATGACGCAAGTGGAGAACAGTGGATTCCAGCAGGGCCAGAATGTGGGCTTAGCAACCTTGGCCAGTGGAAGAACCAGTTGGAAAGATGGATCACAGCCAAGTTGTGGGGGCCTTTGCTGCCAGGCTGGGTGTTTAGGTTTCAGTCTGTAGATAATGGGGAAAGAATGGAGAATGTTCAGCTAGAGAGAGGGGCATGGGGAGGCTGGCTCCACTGGCAGCCCTGGGCAGCAGCTATTGGAAGAGGAAGCGGCTGGAGTTTGTGCTATTACTTCTCCTCTCAGGCCAGAAAGAAACCTCAATAAGTTTCACAAGCAACCTTTGCCCCGCATCTCAAGTTGCTGAAACTTGGGCTGCCCCAAAGCCTTGAACTTTCTCAGCCCCTCCTAGCTGGCTCATTTCCTCATCCGGCCCCTGGCTTTATAAGCACCTAAGATTCTGCTATCACCTTCACTAAGGGAGGCTCCTACAAAGAGACTCTGACCCATCCCTGCCCAGGAAGGAGCTGAGGACAGGATGATGGCCAGACCATACTACAAGGTAGTGGCTCTACTGTTGCTGGCAGAGTTCACCAGGTTTGGAGAAGGAACACCTAATCCTGGGTTCGTGGCCAGGATCACCAGAAAAGGCCTGGAATATGGTAAGAATATGGTAAGAGGGAGGTGGTGATTCCTCTGGGGTTCCTTGTTGCCCACCAGAGTGGTGTGGTCATCGGGCTGAGGAATCACAGGCTAGGGTTCTGCCACCGCCTGGCTTAGAAACCTTAGATATCAGCCTTAGAAACCTTGGGGCTTCAGTTTCCTCATCTTGAATGACAGAAGCCAAGGATAGCACTAGATCAGTATTTCTTCCAAGGGTGGTCCATGTACCACCCATGTTAGAATTGCTGGGACACATATTAAAATGCAGACTTCAGAGACCTAACCAGGACTGGTTGAAGTTGGATCTGGACATCTGCATTGTTCACATGACCCAGGCAATAGTCAAAGCCCTAAGATTTGACCAAACTGCAGTCAGTGATTCCTCAAAAGCCCCACAGTATCCCACTGTCGCTTCCATGACCTTGATCTGGATGAATAAATAACAATGATTGCCACTGACCTGGCACTTTGCATTCATGATCTAATTTAATTCTCAGACACAGGTTAGTATCATCATCATCATTGTTGTTGTTACCATTTTACAGATGGGGGAACTGAGGTTCAGGGAGTATAAGGAAATTGCTTGGGATTTCAATAGTATTCGGTAAATCCTGCATTTCATCCCAGTCAGCATGACTCCAAAAGCCTAGCCATTCAACTGTTTTATTTAGCTACCTCCCATTGAATGTGTTAACTCTATGTCCCCCCAGCCCGTCAGTATGGAGTAGCCACCCTGAAGAATGAGTTGTCCACCATCAAGTTGCCTGATTTGTCAGGAAGCTACGGAATCGGTTGGCTTGGAAGCGTGAACTATGTGTTTAGTGGGTGAGGTCTCTGTTCTCCCCCACGGGGGTAGCAGAGTGGGAAGAATGGGGACCTAGGGTCATGGGGAAGGGGAATAAACATTGGACCATCACTTGGACTAAAGGTAAAGGAATCATGGAAAGCTCTTGTGGAACTTCTGGAAAGTGCTATGGGTTTTTGAATCATCTGGATTAGAAACCATTCATCAGTTCCTATGTCAGTCCTCCAAAGATCAGCTCTGGATTTTTGCTCTACCAGGGAACCCTGGGGGCTTCCCTGGTGGCTCAGATGGTAAAGAATACGCCTGCAATGTTGTAGACCTGGGTTTGATCCCTGGGTCAGAAAGATCCCTTGGAGAAGGGAATGGCAACCCACTCCAGTATTCTTGCCTGGAGAATTGTGTGGAGAGAGGCTACAGTCCCTGGGATCACAGAGTCAGACACGACTGAGCGACTAACACACAGGGAACCCTGGTTACTCTCCAGATCAGGGATGTGTTTGGGATGTACCATCCACCCCTCAGAGCCTGTTAGGAGTTGCAATCAAGGACTTTAAGTCTTTCTGGACCCTGTCCACATTTTATTTGCATACTACCCCTTGAAGATAGCATCCACACATATCCCCAGTAAGAAATGAAGCAGGAGCCTCCTGGTCTCTGGTTAACAACCCTGGTTCCCTTTCTCCATCCCTGTGAGATACAACTGACCTTACACTCCCTCCAACTTTCTCGTATTCAGTCCTAGAGCCCTCACCCCTTACTCTTTTTTATCCATTCTTTGGTTATATGAATTCTCCTTCCCCAGCTTCCTCAGTGTCCAGAATAGGTTCTTGGGGATCGTTTGTCCATCACTGACAGAAAAAGCTGCTTTTTAGAATCCTTCTCAAGTCCCTCAAGACAATTTCCCTGAGACAGTCAGCAAAAAGAAGCCATTTTAAATTTATGCATACATACAGAAAATATCCAGGACATGCCGCTTACAGGGCGATGCTCCTTACCACAGCCCTAGAGCACACCCTTACGCTTGGTGTTCACACTGAGTTACTGTGGTCTGTTAGCATCCGGATCTACCACCAACTGTCAGCTCTCCAAGAGCAAGGACTGGGTTTTGAATCTCTATAGCCTCTGTGCCTGGAGACAGGTCTGACAGAGCAGGAGGATCTCAAGGAATTTTTGTTGAGTGGACAAATAAGTGTTGCTCTGACAAGAACCGCCAACTTAGATGACCACAGTGAGTAGTGAAGATGAGTGTGCCAGGGAGGGTGAATGCGTCCATCAGGCACTAGCTGGGAAAGCAGAACCCATGCCAGGAACTTCAGTGGAGGGAACTGCATATAAGAAATTTGCTACAAAGGTGTTAGAAGAGTTGAAAAGCCACTTTGGGAATGATGACACAACCTAAAATTAGCAGCAATGAAAAGCTACTAACATCCCTAAAAGCCAGAGAGAAAAAGACAAGAAATATCAACACAGTACAAGATCCAGGATCTCTAGGTAGGAGCTAAGATCATGAAGGAAGGGGTGGTCTGCAGGAGCTGCCCCAATGTGGAAACATAACCACTACCAAGACACAAATTGAGGCAGAGAGAAGGAGAAAAAATATCCTGGCTTTCTCCCCTTTTCCTAACCACTCATCTCTCCCCAATGCATCCCATTGGCCGGTCCTAATCAGACTTCAGTTGCAAAGAATTCTGGGGAATGAAGTTTGCCTGCATCAATCCCAGCTAATATATGTCAGAAGAAGGGACGAACAAGCAGCAGACCTGTGAACAACAAAAAAAAACCAACCAAACACACAAATGACCAGAGCAATGTTTACCTGGAAGGCACCTGCCCTATAAGGGGTCACTGCTGCTCACCTGCAGTTGATTGAGGCTGTAAGGGAAAGTCAACTATGTTTTTTTGTTTTATTATGTTCTTCAAGAGAAGCCAGACTTGTAGGTTTTTTCCTTCACATTTTAGGTGAAAAACTTCCCAATCTTAAAATTTGGCAACCAATTCAAAAGTTTTAAAACGCTATCGGAAAAGAAAAGGGTATCTACAGCATATCTCTCATATGTATGTCCCACAGGTCCCAGGATCTAAATCATGAGCCCTTATTTGTATTCCAAGTGGGTGAAGGTGGGAAAAGGGAAGCTGAAGGATACATAATGCAAATGATACATAATGCAAAGCCAGCTCACAGTGTTATGAAAGTGAGATCCAGATGCTTGCCATTTGAAAGGGGAAAGTTTGGTGGAAAGGAAAGTTTGTGCTATTTCAGAAGCCAGAAACCAAAGAAGAGGTTCCAAAGGCCAACTCCCCGCTGACAATCAGTGGGCAAATGTTTCAGGGGTGTATAGGTGGAGGGAACGGGCTGCATGCAGAAGCAGCACAGTCAGCTCTGCCAGTCATCCTGGAATTGGCCATTCAGTGGTCTGACCAGCATCATCTTGACTCTTTTAAGTACCATTAGTCTATAGTTACAGGGTTGGTTTGTTTCCATTTCTTGGAGGCTGATTCTTGGAATTATGTCATAGCTACCTTCTGGTCCTCACGTGGTTAACTTCTTCCACATAGTGGGGGTTTCACTATATACAAAACGGCTCAAAGGATAAGGCTCAGAATATTATCTAAAGCCCTTGAGGAGGAACTAAAGGTTCTTTCTTTAATGACTAAACTATTATTGTTTGGTCTGGTTTGACTGTTTTCCTTTGTTTCTGCGTTTTCTCACTTCTCCGATTAAATGTATTCTTTGACTAAAGTTTTTCTACAGAAAGGCAGGCAGACGGCATGCGGGCAGGGGCAGACCATCCACAGGGTCCTTGAGGTGGTGAGAATCCAATAAATAGGATAGACAAGGGCAGTTCATGAGGGTGGGTGTCAGAGGCGAGAGGAAGGTCTTTGGTCTTGGAAGATTGGGGAAGAAAGGCTTCCTGGAGGAGGTAAAACCTGAGCAGACCATGAAGGATGTGAATGAAATGATTTATTTGTCCTTTTTGGTTTAAGTCAGTAAATTTAAAAGAGTGTGAGAGGCTGAAAGGGGACTCTCAAGATTCATTTGGAGGACTGATGTGTCCCTGGTTTTTCTGAGTCTGATGATCTGTCTTCCTTCCCTAGAATGAGGATCCATCGCTTCTTACTCCGGAACTCCCAGCTGAGTCTACAGCCAAGACAGGGTATCAGAGCCTCCTTGTCCAATAACTACGTATCTGTCAGTGGGAACTGGAAGGTGGAAAAGGCTTTCGTGTGAGTAGTACTGGCATTAGACTGTCTCTCGACTTTGGGCAAGGGCATATCCTGTCTCGGGCTTCTCTGGTGGCTCAGTGGTAAAGAATCCACCTGCCAAGCAGGAGACACAGGTTTGATCCCTGGGTTGGGAAGATCCCCTGGAGAAAGAAATGGCAACCCTCCCCGGTATTCTTGCCCCAGGGACAGAGGAACCTGGCAGGCTCCATGTGGTTGCAAAAGAGTCAGACACAACTTAGGGACTGCATAACATGAAACAAAATGTCCTCCCCCAGTGGAATTCCCTTTCTGGGTTCTGAAACCTCTCCAGTCAATAAATGACCCAGATCTGACCATCCCTAAGCCTTAGTTTCATTATCTGTAAAATGGGGTCAATAATAACCCACCTCATAGATGCAATTGTGGCTTATATAGAATAACAGTTTTAAGGCATTTAGCAGTGTGCCTGGCACACAGCAAACACTCAACACCAGCTGCGTGTACATGCTAAGTTGCTTTAGTCGACTCTTTGCAATCCTACGGACTGCAGCCCACCAGGTTCCTCTGTCCATGGGGATTCTCCAGGCAAGAATACTGGAGTGGGTTGCCTTTTCCTTCTCCAGAGAATCTTCCTGAGCTAGAGATGCAACCTGCATCTCTTATGTCTCCTGCATTTGCAAGCGGGTTCTTTACCACTAGTGCCACCTGGGAAGTTTAAAAATTGAGACTCAGGACACACAACTAGCTGGTGGGGTCTGAGAGACAAACTTGGGTCTGCGTAAGTTTGGCTCATCTTCTGGGAGGTGACTGACTCTATACCCTTTGCTTCTCATTTCTCCCACCCAGCACCCTACATGGTACATTTGATCTGAGTGTGGACAGCATTTCCATCTTGGTTTCTCTGAACTTGGGCAAGGACCAGTCAGGGCGACCCACTGTCTCCGTGACCCACTGCCACAACTCCATCGGCCATGTCAGTGTTGAAATTTCTGGACACATAAGGTAAGTGACCCCCCAAACACACTTTCTGGAGATTGTCAGAGCTGCCTCAGCATCCAGCTCACCCAGGAGACTCCTCTGATGGGACATAAAAGCAAAACTGAGGATCCATCAAGATCAGAGGTCAATGAACTAAGTAAGGCCTAGGGGCCAAATCCACCTGCCAACCATTGTTTAAATTTATCTATTTTTAAATATTCATTTATATATTTGGCTGCACCAGGTCTTAGTTGTGCACATGCGATCATTTATCTTTGTTGCATGTGAGAGCTTTAGTTGCGGCAAGTAACTTCTTAGTTGCACTTCATGGGATCTAGTTTCCTGACCAGGGATTGAACCTGGGCCCCCTGCATTGGGAACATGGAGTCTTCGCCACTAGACCACTAGGGAAGTCACAGCCACGAGTAAGCAAATTTCACTGGGACACAGCCATGCCCATTCGTCCAGGACTGCTTTAGTCTGACAATAGCAGTGCTGAGTAGTTGGCAGAGACCATTTGGTGTGCAGTGCCAAAAATATTGATGATCTGGCCCTTTAAGAAACAGTTCACCAATGCCTGGGCAAGACTGTCTTTCAAGGCAAGCCCGCATTTCAAAGTGATTTCCCTAGAGGGTCCACTCAGTGAATAAGGAATGAACGGTGGTGGTCTGTGGGATGACAGCCTCTCACTGTATTTGGGTTGGCACTGCATCACTCAGATCCCAGCAGGACACAGAGGGCAACTCAAAAGGCTTAACTGACAAGAGCCAGTGGCAAACAAGAGGGGAATATTAACTGGAGTGTGGGCAGGATTAAGGAGTGTTCAGCAAGGGAGGCAAGGGGGTTACCAGAGCCTGAAAGAACTGAAATCTCAGAGGAGGGGACAGGGGACAGGACTATAGTGGTCCAACAGACAGGTGCCTGGGTATAAGTACCCCATCTCCTCTCTGCTTCCTGCCTGTGCCTCCCATTAGCCAAAACAACCAGCAGCCAGAGAGCAAGAGAGTTTGGGAGATGAATCTCTAGACATCAGCCCTCCAGGACACAGAGAAGAGCAGAATGGAGTTGGCAGGGGAGCTTCTTGCCTGGAAAACTCCATGGACAGAGGAGCCTAGTAGGCTACAGCCCATGAGGTCACAAAGAGTTAGACATGACGGAGCAACTAACACTTTCACTTTTCAAAACATATATAATTAGTCCTCTATAAATACATTTTTAGTTTGGGAGTGAGGGTTTCTTCCTGTCATTTGTTACTATAAATAAAGCTACAAGGATAACCTTGAAGAATAATACCATTTTATACCTGGTCAAATAAACTCTAGGATTTATTCTTAAATTGCTATGTGCATTTTGTAATTTTAATATTTACCAACAAATTGCCCTCCAAGGGACTTGCTAGTTTTCACATCCATTAGCAAGGTAAGAAAGTACAGTCGCCATCATGGGCAGATCATCAGAGATTAAACCTTTTGCCAACCTGAAAGGTAACAGTGTCTCAGTTTTAGTTAGTGTCTATCTTGTGAATAATGTACATCCTTAAGAGTCACATATTTCATGTTTTCTAAACAGATTATTCATATCCATTCTTATTCTTCTCCCCAAGAAATCTTTAAACTTTTGACATACAAATTCACCAGCCTCCTTTAAGTTGCAAGTTACAGAAATTCAACTCAGGTGTTTAAGCATTGAGAATGGACTTGACTGGCTCCCATATATCTAAAAAGTCTGTGCATGCTCAGTCACTAAGTCATGTCAGAGGATTTTGCAACCCCATAGACTGTAGCCCGCCGAGCTCCTCTGGCCATGGGATTTCCCAGGCAAGAATACTGGAGTGAGTTGCCATTTCCTCCTCCAGGGGATCTTCCCCACCCAGGGATTGAACGCATATCTCCTGCATTGGCGGGCAGGTTCTTTACCACTGAACCACCAGGGAAGCCCCAAAAGCCCATGGAGGAAGCCAAAGCTGTGATTGGCTTTAGGTGTTTGATATTGCCAGGAATCGCTCTGTCTCCTGGGTCTAGGTCTGCTCATTCTCACTCAGGGTCCTCCACTCTTAGAGTGGCAGAGATGGTCACAGGAGGCCAGGTTTCCTTGCCGGTTAGAGCCCACCATCTCAGCAAGCAGGAGCAGCCTTTTCCATAGGGCTCCAGGTAGAGCATTGGCCAATGAGAACTTTGACCAAGTTCTCATTGATCAATGTGGGGTCACAAGACCATTCCTTGGATCAATCATTTTAGACACTTACTGGCTAAGCCAGGGTCTAGGGCCTACCTCTAAACCTAGGGGTTAGGAGTAGGGTTAGTCCCACTGAACCACCGGGACTGGAAACAGGAAATGAGTGGATTTTAAGGAAGGGAAAGAATATTGAAGATGTTGATGTATATAGTTAATACCACACCCCTAACTAGCCTACTCCCACCTATATTTCTGATTTAGCAGCATATTATGGGTCACCATCCCTCAGATTAAATTCATCTGGCCAGGTCCCTTCTTGGAATAGCACACAGGAAAGCTCAGATCTATGGGTCACCCTTCTCTTGGGAAGTGAAAGTGAAAGTGTTAGTCACTCAGTCATATCCAACTCCTTAGGGCTCCATGGATTTGTAACTGGCCAGGCTCCTCTGTCCATAGAATTCTCCAGGCAAGAATATTGGAGTGGATTGCGGGTGCCCCGCTCCAGTGGATCTTCCCAACCCAAGGATTCAACCCACATCTGTGTCTCCTGCCTTGGCAGGCAGTTTCTTTACCACTAGCGCCACCGCTAGCGCTCCCTTAGGAGTCTCAGCCAATCATAAAGTGGGTTCTGACCTGATTTCCTCTTCTCTCCAGCTGGATCCCGAACCTCTTCCATGAAAGAATTGAAAACGATGTCAAAACCATCTTGGAACAAAAGGTAAACAAAAGGATGAGCAGATTTGTAGTTAACACGCAGGTCATCGGCATGTACACGTTTGGTGTGTAGACACAGTCTCGGCTCTTAAATAGTTGTCATTGGAATTTGCTTAGCAAGACCTTCTTCATTCATGATGTAAAGGAGAATGTCACGGCTTTCCCAGATTTGAATAACCACACGTGCTAAATTGGCATTTGGAACTGATAGAGTGATATCTTTGTTATTTATAACAAATAAATATGTTCGATATGGAGAAGTGACTTTAAATCCTTTCCTTATACCATGTACAAAAATCAACTCCATGTGGTCTAAGGATTTAAATGCCAAAACAAATCTAAGAGTTTCAGGCAGAATACCTAGGATATCTTTCTCATCTCAAATAGTTTAGGAAAATATTTCTCAAATAATGTTCCCTCTCCTGACCCCATAAAATGCACCATATTGAAAACAGCAGTGAGGTCAGCCCTTGGTATCTCTCACTTCTCCAAAAAGCCTTGGTCTTAGAGGCAAAGAGGTACCTCTTCCATTTCCCCTCTGTGTATCTTTGGGCGAATGGAGGGACCCCCTGGAGTCTCAGTTTCCTCACTGGTTAAATGGAGACAATGACCCCTATTTTGAAGGGAGCTGTGAGGATTTGATTGGATAGAGGTACACTGGGTGTGTTCAGAGGGCTCACGATATTACTGTTACAGAGTCATTTCCCAACTGGGTTTCACCTCCTTGAACCTTCACTGTTGAGCTCATGAGCTCTGTGAGCAGATACTTTGGGTTTAAATCCCAGCTCTGCCACTTCGCTGGCTGTGATGCCTTGGTTAACTGGCCTAACCTCTCTGGACCTTAGGATTCTTACCTATAAAATAGAAATAGGGCTTTCCTGGTGGGCCGGTGATTAAGAACCCCCACTTCCACTGCAGGGGTGGGGGCACAGTTTCCTTCCCTCGTTGGTAAAGTTCTGCATGCCGTGAGGTGCAGCCAAAAAAGTAATAGAAATAATCATAGCACCTACCTTGGAGGGCTATTGTGAGGACCACACGACATCATAGCTACAGGCACTGACCAGTGCCTAGTACAGAGGAGGAGCTAGGTAAGGGGGGCAAGCTTAAAAAGGGGGAGGGCAAGCTTATTTTCATAGACACGTATGCTCCTGTAGCCCTGGGCAGCAGGTTGAGGCCAGAGGCAAGGGTGGTCTCTGCACTACCAATATAAGAAACACGGGCCAGAAAGATCCAGGGACCATGTGTCCAGTGGGAAGCGGGGCAGGGGTCAGAGAGGCTAAGCACAAGAACAGTTGCCAAGGATGCGGTCTCTGACCGGCCTCCACGGGGCTACGAGTGCAGAGCCCCAGGTGGCCCTGCAGAGAAAGGGGCGTGGGGTGGATGGAGTCAGGCCTGGACGGGCTGGCTGCCCAGGTAGCACTGCCTTTACCCTCTGCTTCAGGAGAAGCCAGGGCAGAAGTTTGCATCAAACAGTGGTTCCCAAAGTCGGGAAAGCTCCCCCGAAAGGAGAGTACTGAGGCTTCAAGCCTCAGTGCTAAATTATGCAGAATGATAAAATGAACAAGGGATTCCCTATGTGGCCCCTTTTCTCTTTCTTCTTGTGTCAAAGGGGAAGTCTCCATTTAGGGCTAATATGTGCTGAACACTTTGCTTTAACAAAGAGGGGGCATTATCTTGTGGGCAGCTATATCTAGCCCACCTTGCAGAGTGGCTTTTCAACCCCTTGGACTCTTTTTCCCAGGTATATCCTGCTTATGCCACGGGATAACAGTTTTCCTTTGACAACAGTGATAGTTTTCTGTATGTTTTATTAAACGTCTGTAGTTTTTAGGGGCTTCCCTGGTGGTTCAGACAGTAAAGAATATGCCTGCAGTGCAGGAGACCGGGGTTTGATCCCTAGATCAGGAAGATCCCCTAGAAAAGGAAATGACAACCCACTCCAGTATTCTTGCCTGGAAGAATTCCATGGACAGAGGAGCCATGGCGTCACGAGTCGAACACGACTAAGTGATTATATAGTTTTTAAAAGGCCACTTGGTGTAAAAGAAATATTAATTACATTAACAGGTAGAAGGGAAAATTCATAGAAATGGTATAGATATGGCTAACGTTAGGAAATGACAATCTTCCAACTTCTGGGATCTCCCATTCTTGACACGGAGGAGGAAGCTGGTGGCTGGCTGAGGAATGGAATTCTCTGGCTGTGCTTTGGGGCGCCCTCTGGTGGCCCTAGTGAGTACTGCCTGCAGACCGGCCACCGAGCTCCTTCACGGATCCGCGAATCCCAGAAGGCAAGGAATCCCAGCAGGAAGACAGCAAAGGAGCTGGAGGATGGGGTGGTGGAGCCTCTGATATAAGAGCCGCCTCCTGCACCTAGAAGCTCTTCTGTTTTGTCCCTCTGATTTCTCTCTCTCTTTTTTATTTTTTTAAAATATTTTTTGATGTGGAGCACTTTTAAAATCTTTATTGAATTTGTTACAAGATTGCTTTTTGTTTTATACTTTGGCTTTTTGACCACCAGGCATGTGAGATCCTAGCTTCCCAACGACACCCCCTACATTGGAAGGCTAAGTCTTAACCACTGGACCGCCAGGGAAGTTCCCCCCACCAACGCCTGCTGTCTAATAAATGCATACTGCACTTCTGGGCACTTAGCAACCAAGACATTGAACTGAAGACCATGACAATAGCAGACCCCAGGGTAGTGCTGACTTGACCACCATCTGCTTTTAATGAGGGTTCCAGAAAAGTCTAGAAACTTAAGCTGGGCAAACACAAATGGGCAGTGACCAAGTGCTGTGGTTGATGGAGGTCTTGTCTCCGTTTTCACCATATTCTCCCTTCCCTCCACTCACCTACCTACAGGGTGGGCATATGACCCACAGTTCCTGAAGCGGCGGTGGGGAAGTGGGCAGGGACATGGCCTGGGAGGGAGATGGGGAAGGCCTCATGTGGCTGTCTCGTCCACTTCCGGCAGATCTGCAAAATGGTCAAGAAGTCAGCAACCTCCCACCTGGAGCCCTATCTCCGCACTCTGCCAGGTTTGGAGCCCCCTGTCTTCTCTGGGTGCCGTCAGGTGCCATGGCACCCAGTACCCCTGGGACCATCACCGTCATCTCCCAAGAATCCTGGGAGAATTTTCCCCATCAAGTATCTCTCCATCCTACACGGTTGGACACCTGGGGGTCTGCTCTCTGGAGACGGGGGCATGAGGTGATCGAGGGTGGGGACTCAGTAACCTGCTGGGTGCACAGGTGGGCATAGGATTACAAATACATGGGAGAATCACGTGCTAACTCTGTACTGGTTGCTTGAACAAAACAGGGTTGCTCTGAGATTTCCATGCACCCCTGAGCCTTGCCCATCCGACCGCCATAGGGACCTTGTACAATCATATATCAGGTCAGGTCCTCCCCTCTTCTTAAAGCCATCAAAGACTCCCCTGACTCTCAGAATATCGACCCCGCAGTGGGTGATGCAGCACTGCATGGGCAGGCTTGACTGCCAGCTTCATCTTGCTCTGGGCAACTTGGCTGCCACATGGGTCCCTGTGATTCCACTAATACACCATGTCCCGTGCTTCTACAAGATCTTTGCATGTGTCGCTCCCTCTGCCAGCAACATCCTTCCCCGAGCCGCCCCTTCTGCCAGCCTTGGCAACTGATCAACACCTATTCCTACTTCAGATCTCGACCCAAGCAAAACCTCCTCTGACTCTATATCCCACACTTCACCCCCTTTATATGGCTAGCATCATCCTGTGAATTTATGATACCTAGCAGAGTTGTGATTTTATATCTATTTGCTCAAATACTTGTCTTTTTTTCCCTTCTGGATTGCCAGCTCCAGAAGAACACAGACTTTGACTCTCCTACTAACCTGCTTCATCAGCCTCTTGCATTCATTGTGCCTGGTATATAGCAAGGACTGAATAAATATTGAATGAATGAGTGTATGAAGCACCCTCTTTGTGACTGAAGTTACCTTGATCAGCACTAGCCCCATTTTCACTCTCCAAAGGCTATATGGGAAAAGGGCTCTGTAGATTTGCACAGTGCACAACTTGAACAACTGTGTTTGGCTCCCTTGTTCATAATGCTGTCTGTCTCCTGCTCATAGTCACCTTGATGGTTGACCAGATTGCCGGCATTGACTACAGTTTAGTAGGAGCTCCCCAGGTGACCTCCCAAGGCCTGGATATACCCTTCAAGGTAAGGGGCTGTAGAGAAAGGGCCTTGGAGCCGGGGGCTGGCAGAAATCCAATTCTCCCTCTCAGAGTTGGCTTCTACTCTCCTCCAGACCTTCTGCTTGTCACTCCATGTCCCTGACCAGTGCCCACAGTGGGAAGATGTGATACACAGCACACACTGCAGAACAAAACCTAAGATGAGGTCTCTGAACCAACATAGTAAATCCGTCTGGAACTCAGAAGACCTGAGTTCAAATCCCTAGCACTTGTGTACTGAAGAATCTTAGAAGAATTCTTTAACTTTTCTGAGCCTCCATGGAATTCAAATAATAATAGCCTTATATCATAAAGTGACTACAGGAATTAAATGAGATGTGTCTAATGTGCATAGCCAAGTGCCTGGCATGTAGTATATGTATGGGTACCAGTATTATTACCTCCTGCCTTACTCCCTATAGTAGACTGAAGAATGGCTCCCTTAGATGTCTGTGTCCCAGTCCTCAGAAAATGAACATTTTACTGTATATGGCAAATGAGACTTTGAAATATAAGGTAAAATGTTTAATTAAATGAAGGATCTTGAGATGACAAGATTATCCTGGATTAATGGGCTAGCTGTTGTCATCATGTACTGTGCTCAGTCACTGAGGGGTTCGACTTCTTCGTGCCCCCAGGCTCGTCTGTCTGCGGGGACTCTCCAGGCAAGAACACTGGAGAGGGTTGCCATGCCCTCCTCCAGCGGATCTTTCCAACCCAGGAATCGAGTCTCCTGCATCACAGGCAGATTCTTTACCAGCTGAGCTAACGGGAAGCCGGTTGTAATCATAAGGGTCCTTATAAAAAGGAAAAGAAAGAAGTTGCTCAGTCGTGTCCGACTCTTTGCGACCCCATGGACTGTAGCCTACCAGGCTCCTCTGTCCATGGAATTTTCCAGGCAAGAGTACTGGAGTGGGTTACCATTTCCTTCTCCAGGGGATCTTCCCGACCCAGGGATCGAACCTGGGTCTCTTGCATTGCAGGCAGACGCTTTACCATCTGAGTCACCAGGGAAGCCCCTTATAAAAAGGGGGTAGGTGATAAAGGATAGGAGGCTATGTGACAACAGAAACAAGAGCTTGGAACTAAGGGTCAGAGTGATGCAAGGGAGGGGCCAGAAGCTAAGGAATGCAGGTGGCCTCTACAGGGTAGAAAAGGAAGCAGATTCAGCCCTGAAGCCTCAAGAAAGAAGGCAGACTTGCCAATATCTTGAGTTTTAACTTCTGACCTCCAGAAACGTGAAGGACTACAATCTCTGTGTTTTAAACCATTAAGATTATGGTCATTTGTTACAGTGGCAGGAGGAAAAGAAAACACCCTGTCTTCATTCTGGTCTTTCCCACAACCCCTGTTGAGCCAGGTCCTAGAGTGTCACCCCTCTCCAGTTTTATTTATTTAACTAACACCTAACACTTATAGGGCTTCCCTGGCGGCTCAGACGGTAAAGTGTCTGCCTGCAGTTCGGGAGACCTGGGTCCGAACCCAGGGTTGGGAAGATCCCCTGGAGAAGGAAATGGCAACCCACGGCAGTATTCTTGCCTAGAGAATTCCATGGACAGAGGAGCCTGGTAGGCTACAGTCCATGGAGCAAAGAGTTGGACACAACTGAGCGACTTCACACTTTCTTTACATGCTTTTTACTATGAGTGTGCATGCTACATCACTTCAGTTGTGTCTGACTCATTGCAACACTATGGACTGTAGCCTGCCAGGTTCCTCTGTCCATGGATTTTCCAGGCAAGAATACTGGAGTGAGTTGCCATGCCCTTCTCCAGAGGCTCTTCCGACCCAGGGAGCAAACCTACATGTCTTATCTCCTGCTTCGGCAGGTGGATTCTTTACCACTAGCGCCATCTCGGGAAGCTCCTCTTACTATGTGCCAAGTGCTATTTTAAGTATTTGCACAAATGTTAATGCATGTAAATTTCATACCACCTCTATGAAGTAGAAACCATTAGCATCATCCCCACTTTTTTCATTAATTTTTTTTGGCGGTGTTGGTCTTCGTTTCGGCACATGGTATCTCTGCTGCAGTGTGCGGGGTCTAACCCTGCAGCACACAGGCTCTCAGGTCAGAGCATGAGGGCTCCAGAGTGCAGGCTCCGTAGTTATGGCGAATGGGCTTAGTTGCCCCATGGCATGTGGGGTGTTAGTTCCCCAACCAGGGATCGAACCCGCATCCCCTGCCTTGCAAGGCAAACTCCTAACCACTGGACCAGCAGGGAAGTCCCGCAACATCTCCATTTGTCAGGTGAGGGAGTTGAAGCACAAAGAAGTCGGAGACTTTCCCAAGATCCCAGAGCAAGCAATGGCAGGCCAGGATCCAAAACCAAACGGTTAAGCTCCAGAATCCATACTTTGCACTGGATGGTGCTCCTTTCCCTGCATCCTGAGCCTGGAAGAACATAAGACACAGCCCCCACCCAAAAAAACAGTCTACGATGGGAATTTAAGGTAGCTGTTAGGGTCTACGTACTGTGGGGCCAGATGAATCTTCCAAGACACCAGCCCTACAATCTAGAGAGGAATCGCCAGCCCAGTCACCACCCGGGCCTGACATCTTCTCTGGAAGGAACCCTGGAGACCGCTGTGTCCTTCTGTCTGCAGGGTGAATTCTTCGGCAGAAACCAGAACTCCTCAGTCCCCTTCGATGCTCCGCCCATTGGGCTGCCCCAGAAACACGACCACATGATCTACTTTGCTGTCTCCGAATATGCCTTCAACACGGCCAGCAGGGTTTACCACCAGGCTGGGCAGATGAAATTCACCATCCAAAATAAGCATGTGAGTAGGGGAGGGAGGAGGCTGGGGGTCCCCAGAGAGAGCATCAGACGGGACAGTAGATCCACTGTGAGTGCTCTGGGAAGCCGGGAGAAGAACGTGGAATTTGGAGCCTGCCAAATAGGGCTTCGAATCCAGGCTGTGCCTCAGTTCCCCTCTTTGTGCATATGTGCCTATTTTACCCCAGGGGTTATATGAGAGACAGCCTGTAAGAACTTGGAGTCTGATGCATGTATGTATGTTAGCTATATTAGCAGTATTTTTTTTTCAATTTTTATTTTTGGCTGCACCGTGAAGCATGCGGGATCTTAGTTCCCCGACCAGGAATCCAACCGGCACCCCCTGCAATTTGAGCTTGGAGTTTTAACCACTGGACCGCCAGTAAGGTCTCGATAGTATTTTCAAAAAATAACACAGGCTCTGGTGTGTTGTATCAGGTACTCCAATACGCAGATACCAAGACAACTTCAGACTTATAAGAGATTTATGAGGGAAACACCTGGAGAGATAACAGGCATTGGAGGATGGAGCAGGTGGGACGAGCCCTTAGACAGAGATGCCTGTGAAGCAGAGGGAAGGCAGGCAGATGCGGCAGAAGTGCTGCTGTATCTCTAAGTCTCAGCTAAGCTGAAGGGGAGCCACAGCACCAAGCTTGCTTATTAGAGGAGTGTGTATCAGGCGGGTGTCAAAGGAGTCTGGCTCCAAGGTGAATCCTATGTGTGATCTTTCAGATCCACCTGCAGGCAATTACACTAAGCTTTACGTGGCAGGTCTAACCCAGTCCAGACTTGGTTCATGGCCCGTGTTTGCTAGTTTCCAGAGGGAGGTACCCTGGAGGACTCAAGCCCGTGCCTCACCTGCCAACTTGCATTCCTAGCCTTGATACTTCCCGTTCAGAGGCCTATTTGTGGATGGGGAGGGGGGGTAATTTCAGCTGAGATCCCTTCCTGGGGGCCTTGAAGACAGTTTTCTCCAGTTTGACTCAATAGTCAATACTTTTTCTTTTGGGCCTTCTGGTCCTTCCCCGTCTCCTCCACCACCTCCCACTGGGTCCATGATGGTATCCTATGTCCTGCCACAGGGAAAAGGGGGACACAGCGGGGCCAGGGTCCTTTCTGGTTTAGCCTCTTGCTTCCTCTCTCAGAGTAAGCAAATGAAGCCTTGACTGTGACTTTCAGTTTGACTCGTTGTCTTAAGCAATCATCTCGAATCCTGATATCTGACAAAATTCTCCATCTCTACCATGTGGGCTATGCTCAGTCAGGGGCTGGGAGCTGTCTGGGAGAGGGTGGCCCCAGTGTGAATGGTGTGAGGCCTGAGTGTGAGGCAGGGGGTGTGGGGGCCTGTCAACCAGCTGCCTTGATCACAACTGATGTCTCTGAAGGGAGATCTGAGCAGGGTACCCTCGCAGCCCCGAGTCGAACACTGTGGTAACTGCTAAATAGAGTTAAACTCTAAAGAAGGCTGAGCGCCAAAGAACTGATGCTAGAGAAGACTCTTGAGAGTCCCTTGGACTGCAAGGAGATCAAACCAGTCAACCCTAAAGGAAATCAACCCTGAATACTCACTGGAAGGACTGATGCTGAAGCTGAAGCTCCAATAGTTCAGCCACCTGATGCAAAGAACTGACTCATTGGAAAAGACCCTGATGCTGGGAAAGATTGAGGGCAGGAGGAGAAGGAGGCAACAGAGGATGAGATAGTTGGATGGCATCATCAGCTTAATGGCCATGGATTGAGCAAACTGTGGGAGATAGTGAAGGACAGGGAAGCCTGACATGCTGTAGTCCATGGGGTCCCAAAGAGTCAGACAATTTAGTGACTGAACAACAGCAACAAGAAGCTGCCCAAATGAACAGTGGGGATCTTTTTGTTTTTTTTTTTAATATTTGTTTATTTAGCTGCTCCAGATTTTAGTTGCAGCATGCAGGACTTTTAGTTGTGGCATTCAGGATCGAGTTCCCTGACCAGGGATTGTACTTGAGCCTCCTGCACTGGGAGCATAGAGTCTTAGCCACTGGGCCACCATGGACGTCCCGAGGCTGAGGATCCTAAAGGGGGAAGAGACGGAGGAAGGCGTACCATGGACGGGTATAAGACAGGGCTCGCCAAGCTGAAAGATGAGCAAGTCCAAAGGCATGGGTAGAGAATAGCACCATGAGAGACTTCTGGCCAGAAAAAGAGTTTGGGGTTGGGGAAAGCCATATCTGAAAGCACATTAAATCCAGACTGTGGTGGTTACCAGCTCTTGTTGGCCCTTTAGGGGAGAATCCTGAGAAGTGATGAATACCAATCATAGACATTTATTAAGCCCTTCCTATGTTCCAGGCCCTGCAGTTAGCTCTTTACCTTTAGAATATCTCGTTCAGTCCTCGCACACCCTATACAAGTGCTATTATGATCATCCTCCTTTTCCAGATACAGAACCTAATGAAGTTTATCAACCTTAAGTCAGCCCCAAACTGGCGGAAGCAGCAGCTGAGGCCCCGCTGCCAGACCTCCAAGTCCATGCCTCTAACTACTCTGGTGTCCTGCTTCTCAAGTGGCTTCCTGCTTGATGTGCTGCAGATTCCCTTGGACTTCCCAATCCAGCTGCATACCAGCTCATTCCGGGCCATTATTCCTCAGGTAAGACCTTAGGACAAGCCCATTAACATGGGCCAAATGTTGAGATTGTGTGTGGACATCCATGAGCTGTGCATAAACTTTCTCCGAACAAACAGCTTACTTATTAACATAGTGAATAAAAGTAAGCTATTAAATAAGTTATTAAGATTTTGTTTTTTGCTTCAAAATTTCCATCATTCTCTGACTTCTGGAGGCATAAAGACACAGGATCCAGATTCAGACTGCCTGTGTTTGAATCTGGGATCTGCTGTTTCCTGTCTTGGGAACTCGATCTTGTTGGGCCTCAATTTCTTCATCTATCAAATGGGAACAACTCTAGTACCTGCCCCCACTGAGTTGCTGCTGGGTTGGCCATTATCAAATGGGAGATAACACTCAGCTAGGACAAACATTCAAGATCCTTCCAGGGTGCAAATGGGACACATTGGGCAGGCTAATAACTGGGGGCTAGACCAACAATCAATATTTGTTTGCTGTTTATGTACAGCAGAGCTGAAAAGTAGCAGGAGCAGAGTGGAGAAGAGTTCTCAGCCTCCCCTCTCTTGAGTCAGGCAATTCATCTCTGGCCCCAAACTTGCACACTAGTCTTAACACAGTGTAGGAGGCAGTATAGTGACCATCCAGTTATTGGAGCTTTCCCATTGTGGTATTTCTACCCATCCTGGATACATTATCAAAGTGCTCTTTCCAATCATAAAGCCATCCACTGAAAAAGAGTTCTAAAAATATAATTGCCTACTAACAAATATTTTGAGAATATTAGCTAATTTTTTCTCTCACTATTTTGAGTGTCTTTTCTTCTAAATTGGATATTGTCACATGTATGAATTTTTGTGTCCATTTTCATGGAATAATGTGAAACTACATTTTGTGTGCATATCCCCATTACTATTGAATTTTAACATGTATTCATTTATTTATAGCCATTTGTATTTCTTATCAACTAAATTGCTACATTAACCATTTAATATATATTTTTAAACTTTATTTATATATACATATAAAATTCTCACCATCCTATGATTTTCCACTGCCAGTTCAGGGCCCTTGAAGATTTGAGTCTTGGGGGTTCTGCCCATCTGGCCTTCCCCAATACAGCTCAGGGTCCCTCTGTCTGTCTCATGTCTTCCCCTAGTATCTGCCCTATTTTTCCAGCTGGCCAGGATGTATCCTAATATGGAACTAGAGCTTGAGACGTCACCTGAATCAGCTCCATTCCTGACATTCACTCCTGGAAATGTGACCTTCATGCCAGTGATGGACATCCAGGCCTTCGCTCTCCTGCCCAAATCTGCTGGCCGCAAGCCCCTCTTCCAAATCAGGGCGGTGAGTCTGAATCTATCCAGGGCAATAAAGGGTCATGTTTGCTATGGTTAGAAGCCCCTCCCTTGGTTAAAGGACTGGGAGACTACACAGCTGAAGTAGCTGAAGGCTATTTATTTCTGGTGTGTTTTGAGTGGGTCTTGCACACTTGGTCTGAACAGCCAAGCTTCCCGATATAGCTAATCAAATCATAACACTGTCAGAGTTGCAAGAAACCTTAAAAGTCATTCACTCCAGCTGAGGTGGAAATTTTTAGCTTTCTCACTGTTACATTTATTTAATTTTAAAATTTATTTAATTTAAAGCATTGTTGTTGTTGTTTAGTTGCTAAGTCATGTCAGTCTCTTTGCAACCCCATGGACTAGAGCCCTCCAGGTTCCCCTGTCCATGGAATTTTCTAGGCAAGAGTATTGGAGTAGGTTGCCATTTCCTACTCCAGAGGATCTTCCCAACCCAGGGATCAAATACTCGTCTCTTGTGTCTCTTGCATAAACCTATTTAAAATGTTATAAATAAAAATAATAAAATTACCTTTTTAAAGAAAGTATAAAATTTAAAGAACTTTTATTTTAAAAGTTCTAGCAATACTCTCCAAATTCATTCACAGATTCAGCATGATCCCTATCAAAATCCCCTCTAGTTTTTTTGCTTCCAATGAAGGGAGTGCAGTTTCAATCCCTGATCAGGGAACTGAGGTCTGAGAACCACATACTGCATGGCAGTATGTGGGGCCCAAAAAAACAAATAAACAAACAACAAACCCTTCCTTTCTCCACCCAAAGAACCAGAAAAAATGAAGTCTAGTAAAATAGAAAACTTTTAGACAATAATTGTTTTACCATAGCTTCCTGGTGGCTCAGATGATGAAGGAGACATAAAAGATGCGAGTTCAATCCTGGGGTCAGGAAAATCTCCTGGAGAAGGGAATGGCTACCCATCCAGTATCCTTGCCTGGAGAATTCCATGGACAGAGGAGCCTGGACGGCTACAGTCCATGGGGTCCCAGGGTCGGACACGGCTGAGTGATTAACATTTAACTTATTGCTAAACTCCAGAGAGAAAAGAATAAACGAACTAGAGAATAGAACAGTAGAAATCACCCAATCTGAACTACAGAGCAAAAACAGACCAAAGAAAAACAATTAAAAGAGCTTCAAGAACCTGTGGGACTATAATAAAAGATCTATCATTCAGGCCATCAGAGTCTCAGGAGAGGAGAAAGTGGGAGGGGCTAAAAAGTACTCAAAGAAATGGCTGAAAATTTCCCAAATTTAGTAAGACACAGACAAAGCTACAGATTCAAGGAGCTGAGCACATTCCAAACTAGATAAACCCAAAGAAATCTGTGCCAAAAAAAAAAAAGCAAAGCAAAGAAATCTATGCCAAGACATAAGAATTAAATTTCCGAAAATTAGAGGTAAAGAAAAAGTCTTGAAAGTAGCAAAAGAAAAAGAACACCTTATGTTAAGGGAAAAACTTTTCCAGCGGCAGCATGTTTTTCACCAGGAAACATGGAGGTCAAAAGAAAGTGACACTTTGTTTTTTGGTTTTTCATTTTCTTGGCCAAGTTATTCAGCATGCAGGATATAGTTACCCAACCAGGGATCAAACCTGCAGTGGAAATACAGAATCTTAACCACTGGACTGCCAGGGAATTTCCAAACATGATATATTTCAAGTGCTATCTTAGCTCGGGCTCCCACGACAAAATATCCTAGACTAGCTGACTTAAACAATATCATTTATTTCTCATAGTTCTGGAGGCTGGGAAATCCAAGATAAGGTCGGAAGTAATGCACGTTCCACTGCCCAGAACTCAGTCACATGGCCATACCTAACTGCAAAGGGAGCTAGGAGATGTAGTCCAGTGAGTTGTCTTATGAACCTTGAAGCCGACTCTGCCACAGACCCTTCCCTGTTCATCTTCAATAGTTCTTGGCCACTGTTCAAGCTGATAATGACCTTGTCTATGCCTGAGCAGAAACCAGCCTTCTGTCCTTTGGTAGGGACACAAACAGTGTTCCGTTTTTCCTACCACAAGCCTCTGGGCTATCAATCAAGTTTCAAAGTGGAGCTGTTCAGTGATGTTGCCACAAACATTCATGCAGGTGTTGCAGGTAAGATCTCACCTCCTGGAAAGAGGAAATGGACTCAGGTAGAACAGCGAACCATCATAGATAGGACAGGCTTTATGGAGCCTCCAGATACAGTCACCTGGTTCAACCCCACATCTGTAACAGATCAAGCTTAATCATTAAACATAGATGTCAATTACTGGTGTCTTTAAATGTCCCTAGAGCTTGGGGACTCTGAACTTTTGGTGGCCTGCTTACAGATGGACAATCTCCCCATTCAAATGCTCTGTGTCTTTAGTCTGGGCTTATTTCCCCCTTCCTGATGCTTCCATGAAGATGGAGATGTCTGAAACCGCAGCTCACCTCTCTTTAAAGTCATCGGTGGAGCTACCAGCCTCCTGCCTCCTCAGTCCACAATCCTTAATCACCTGCTCTTCGCCCATATGTCCTGCATCTGGCTGTGCTATCTATTTCTGGAGATTTGTCTCTTGCTCTTGGACCCAATAGCATGTCTTCTTGGGCCAAGAATCTGGATCGTCCTCTTTTGCTTTTCTAGAGTACCAACATCTCCATCACCATCAATGTGAACTCCAGCACGATCACTGGTTCATTGGCCACAGGGAGGTAAGAGGCCATGGGCTGGGGAAGAGGAGAAGGGGATGGATTGGCACTTGTCCTAGCAGTGTCCTCGGTTCAGAGCCTTCACCTGTGCCCCACATCTCATCCACTCTGGGCTCTGCTCCTTGCTGAGGTACATGTGCAATGGGTTCCCTAGAAGAATGAATTCCTGGTCTCAAAGTTAGATGCTGTTGGCTCATATAGACTGCCCTGACCCTGTTAAAACTAACATCTCCTTAAGAGATCTTTAAAAAGAGAAGCTGAGCTTCCCTGGCAGTCCAGTGGTTAAGACTGTGCTTGCAATGCAGGGGGCACCAGTTTGATCCCTGGTCAGGGAACTAAGATCCCAAATGCCAAGTGGCCAAATTAAAATAAATAAATACAGGAATAAAAAGTAAACAATGAGCTTTCAGGGCTTTTGGAGGTCCTGGAATTCGAGTTTATGCATATGACTTGGGGGGTCTCTGCAGTGTCAGAGGAGACAGCCAAGGGTTTAGACTATGAGGAGACAGCAAAGTAAGGAGGATTCGTGAGGACCTCACACAGTTTTACCAAGGAATTATCAAAACTGCCCTGCCCTGTGAGTGGAAAACAGAGAGATTGATCCAGGGTAATTAGAATTTCTGAACAAGTGGACCAGCTCAGCAGCCAAGGGAAAGCCTGTGACGAGGGAGATCAATATGGCAGGTGGGGGGGTTGAGGTTTGGCTTTTATAGTGATGGAAGTCAATGTGCCAGCATCATTTATGGTGCCTCTCTTTTCCATTTTTATTGTCTATTGCCATGCTGTAAAAGTAACGCATGCTCATGGCAAGGAAAAAATTGGAAATTACCAAAGTATTAAAAAAAAAAAAGCAGACAAAATCCCTCATCATTTTGCCACACAGAGATTATCACCATTAATAGTTTCATGGTTCCTTCCAGTTTTCTTATACATTTTTATATCATTGGAGGCATTCATTACCAGTTTTTTTTTGTATTACACTTTTTCTGGTTAATATTTATATTATCATAATTTCTTCAAGTTATCAAAGAGCCTCAGTGAATGTTACTTTTAACAATGTCACTTCTTAAGTCACAATGCATGCTTCATATTTATTTCTCTGACTGCATCAGGTCTGAGTTGGAGCACGTGGGATCTTCATTTCATCACCCGGTAGTTGTGGTGCAAGGACTTACTTGCCCTGTGGCATCTGGCATCTTAGTTCCCTGACCAGGGATCGAATCCCTGCATTGCAAGGTGGACTCTCAACCACGGGATCACCAGGGAAGTCCCACACAGTACATGCTTAGAGGCTTAAATCCACAAGCACATTGCAGAGGAACCCTTGGGTGTCCAGCCTCCAGAAATGCCCTTGCCCACAAGTACCACACACCCCACTGGTGAGGGAACTTGGGAGAAAGTACCAGCCACAGCATGAGGTGACCTGTGCTTCTCTTTCTGCACAGTGAGCTGAAATTGGAACTGAAGCACTCCAACATCGGTTTCTTCAATGTGAGTTGTTTTCCTTCATTATTTCTTGAGTGTCCTCTCCAACCAGGGCTTCATGGGAAGAAGCTTCATGGAAGGGCTCTAGGAGAAGCAACGAGGTCCCAGAAAAGATGCCCTGTAGTCTTGCAGGAATCAGGATATCACATCTGAAAGTTAATCATCCCAGAAGGGCAAAAAGAGTGACGCGACATGAACGTTCAGAGCAGGAGTTTTGGAGGATGATGGGTCTGGGCTCATCCATCAGCTCTGCCACTTCCTACCTGTGTGACCTTGGGCAAATCACTTAGCCTTTCTGAGCCTGTTTCTTTGACCATAAAATGGGAATGATGATAGCATCTATCTCTAATGGGGACTGCAATTTGAAATGGGGCAATGAATTCAGTAAGACACCTTGACCAAATGTCACACATATTACACTACACTCTCAGTATATGTCACTATAATAATGGCCAGGTGCACAATCTCTTCTCAAAAGCCCTTGAGACGGATGGGTTTCAGAACTGGGAATTTTGGGGAGGTACTGTGGAGCATGCCCCCCTGGATCTGGGGCAACATTTTATAATCAAACATAGTCATAGTTTTGCAAAAAATTTTAAAACATTCAAATAAGGTAGAATTAAAAAAAAAAAACACCACTAAATAGCACCAGGACAGTTCAAGTCATGTTTTGTCACAAAATGTGCCTGTGTACACCTGTGGAGAATGAAGGTCAGAGATCTGGGATTTGGGAATTGTGAGTGAAGAACCGTTTATGTGTCATGGTGATAGTCATTGTCAACCTCTATTTTGTAAATGGGATAACAGGCTGATGTTTTCAGAGTTGGGAGTCAGATGCTCTTCCCATGGATTTCTGTTTTTATTCCTGTCTTACTTGATTCCTTTGCTCTGGCCCCTCCTCTGCTCCAGGTGAATTTGATGGAATCCATCTTCAATTACTATGCATTCCACATTATATACCCCTCTCTCAACGGTAAGAATAGCTGCTACTACCTGCCCCATGCAAAAGCTGAATTCTACCCTTTCTGTAGGACTCATGGGTTCATTCATTCATTCAACAAGGTGAGCCTCTCTTCTGTGGTGGCTGGGGGACTAGCGATGCAGGATCTTTGCCCTCATGGAGTTCACACGTTGTTGGGAAGGCAGACCTGTGAATGCCAACAGTTAGATAAATGACACCACAGAAGAAAGCTGTGGGAACTAGAGGACTGCAGGAGCTAGGAGGAGGCGCTTGGAACACGACTTGGAGGTCAGTCTAGAGGGCTGGGCTGAGTCCCAAAGCACAAGGAGTTAGGCCAAGGGAGGCTGAGCATTCCAGGAAGCACTGTGGAGAGCACCTGGAGTTAGCACATTTTAATTTTTTTAAATTTATTTTTGGCTGTGCTCGATCTTCACTGCTGCGAAAGGGCTTTCTCTAATCGTGGCGATTGGGGCTACTCTCCAGGTGTGGTGCTCAGGCTTCTGATTGCAGTGGCCTCTCTCGCTGCCGAGCACACGGGCTGTAGGCACCCGGACTTCAGGAACTGTAGTGCGTGGGCTCCAGAGTGTGGGCTCAGGTGTGATAGGGCATGGGATTAGTTGCCTCATGGCATGGGGGGATCTTCCTGGACCAGGGATGGAACCCTTGTCCCCTACGTAGGCAGACGGATTCTTAATCACTGGACCACCAGGGAAGTCCTGGAGTTAGCACATTTGGGTCCTAGGGTGAGGCGAGGTCACTGACTTGCTGGATGACTGTGATGGAAGTAATTCTTGGGATAGTGGCTGCCTGTGAGACCAGTGGGCCTTCTCTGATGCCAGGGCCACCTCCAACAGGCCTCACCATCTGGCTTTTATGACCAAGAGATACGAGCCGCAAAACTGGCCTGGAAAAGATAAACTGGAGGAGATGGTGGTCCTTGGGGTTGAGTCCTTGCATATAAACACTACTCACTGCACGTCCCAGCCCAGACCACTTTGGATAGCAGATGAAAAAGGGGCTCTTGAAGGGGCCAGTAGAAGCTCGAGGCTGAAGAGTGGACAGATGTGCCCTGCATCCAGTAGCCCACCACGGGTCAAAGCGTCCACTCTCTCCTTAGCCAGTTGCAAATGCAATGGTCTGCACCTTTGCATCTCCCTCGTCTCCTCTGACCAGCCCACTTCTCTCCACTCTTTATCTTTCAGCAAAGCTTGAGGAGGGCATCCCACTCCCTCTGCCAAGGGACACCTACCTCAACAGCTTGGAGTTCCAAATCCATGAGGTCAGTGGGAAATGGGAGTCTGAATTGGGAGCTCTAGACCTTCCCAGATGTTTGCTTTAGGGCTGATGGATACTCTGGGGAGTCCCTGACTCTCACATAGATCCTGAACTGAATCCTCATAGGAAAAGAATAATTCTGGTTTTAAATTTTGGAGTATAAATGGCAGGTTTTGATGACCTGGAATCTTGGCTTCAGTAAAATAGCTCAGTTCCCAATAATTCAGTTCAAACATAATGGAACCTCTACAATGTACAAGGCCCACTAGCCATTGATGGCAGGAGGAGAGGGTGTAAAGTGGTCAGACTAGATGAACCACTTATTGAGCTAATAAGGGGCCACCTGAAAAGCCCAGAATGTCCATGGCTGAGTCCCCACTAGGCCCCTGACCAGGCTTCCCACCCTGGATGTGTGGTCCTGGAGAAAACCTGACGATGCTTTCTGGTGGAAGAAACATACCAGGGGCCGAGCCAAGGACAAGCATAGGACACTGATATATATCCAGAAGCACTAACCAATGTCGTCACTGTGTAATGTTTCTTACTCCAAGGTAACCCTGGGCTACATCCTTAGACATTAACTGTGAGGGGAGCAAACTCAACCAGCACTCGTGTGTACATGGTTCTCCCAGGGGGGTAAAAAGAAAATTGAAGCAGGAAAGGGACATTCATGGATGTCTTCCAGAAGTCAGATCAGGAAATTGCTGATGAATTCCTAGGGGCAGGCAGCTGAGGGGCACAGTGTTTAAGGCCTCCAAGGGCTTGGTTTTTTATTCAAGTGAGCATGTTTTTTCCTGTAAAGGCTTCCCTTTCAGGAAGCTCCGATGCCGTGTGGCTCAGAAAATGATCTTTCTCGTCTTTTCTGCCTTCTCTCCAGAACTTCTTGTTCTTAGGGGCCAATGTTGATTAGCCTGACGACGGAAGAGTAACTGTGGCTGGAAGAGTGGACGACACAAGTGGACTGCCCTTGACTTTGCGGGGATCGAGGCTGCCTCTTCTCCCATGAGCGTCCCCTGTCCTCGTGGACGCAGGGAACGTCTGACGCCTGAAGACACACCTGACTTCCACCACCCCTTCGTGTCCCTACATACCCTTTCAGTTGTCCTCAGCCTTTCTCTGGGGGGTCAACTCCAACTCCTTGCCTGTGGTCCCCTAGAGACAACTTCAGTGACAGAAAAAAGTATGAGCAGTGTTCAACCACCATGCAGCCCAAAGCATCCTGCTCAACATTAAACATACATGTGGAACTTTGTACGTTATTGGATGTCACGGTTAAAGGCGCAAGTCAGACAGAAATGGGCTTAAAGCCTTGTTCTGCTACTTTCTTGTAGAAGACTCACTGAGACCACAGACCACCCAGCTCCTATACAGGCCACAAATCTACCCAATAAATTATTTCAATTTGATTTGCCTGCTTCTGTCCCTGGGCCTAGTGCTAGAAGAGGTGGGATCAGAATAAGAAAAACACATGGTCTCTGTTTACATCAATCTTACAGCCAAAAACAGGAGCCAGCAGATTTTTTCTGTAAAGGGCCAGAGAGCAAATCTTTTAGTCTTGGCTGAATATATTGTTTTAACGACTCAACACTTCTGTTGTAACAGAGAACAGCCTGCTAGCATGTGTGTGGCTGTGTTCCAGTAAAACTTTATTTAAAAAAAAACAAACAAGACAGGCAGGCCAGATTTGAGCAATGGGCCATAATGTACAAACTCCTGGTCTAAAACAATCCACCAAGAATAAAAGGCATTTACACCATGAATGCAACCCTGATCTATAATACAATTAGGAAATTACTATCATACTCAGTTACAAAAGTAATAAAGAGCATAGACTTAGGACAAGTGTGACCTGCTTTATAACTGTGGCGACATCACCTCTTTGCTCTCTTAGCAAAAATCTATTGAATCTCTCCAAACCCCAGATTTCTCAATTTTAAAATAGCATGAGAGGACTTCCCCAGAAAATGATAATGAACCAAAGCCAAATATTATCCTGGAATGCTTGGTTAGCAAAGAAAGTTGCCATTTTTCCTGCAGATTACCGTTTATTGTTCTAATCATGGGCCGTTTCCTTCTCTGCTTCTGTATCTTCTGGCAGCAAAGGATTCCCCTGTTCATGGGTTTTCCTGGCCAAGGTCATTGGACAAACCCACTTTCCCAGCTTTTCAGGGCATAAAGAAGCATAACCCCTCCCACCAAAAAGGCCCACTTCACATACACAACCTCTTCTGCTGGCAGGAGGCATGCTTATTGCTTTAAATTTTTTATTTTTGGCTGCTCTGGGTCTTTGTTGCTACATGCAGGCTTCCTCTGGCTGCAGCGAGCAGGGACTACTGCTTTATTTTTAATGTCAGCAGACATGTAGACTGACTGACAAATACCTCTGAAAAGGGACCGCTGCCTGGAAGCTGAGAGTGAAGGATGACACACACAGACTGGAGTTCAGCGGGTCCTCTTGGCTTCTGCCCTCCTGGGTTATCTAGGCCAGCAGCACAAGCGGCCAAGTCTTCCTAGTGACCTACAGCACCTGCTGGGCTTCATGCAGGGGCAGGCCCATCACAGGATACCCTAATAAGCAGCATCGTACCTCACCAGTTGAGAAAGTCAGCGATGCTTTGGTTTGTAGTTGACAGATACCCAGTTTGACTGGCACACGGGCTTACTGCTCAAGGCATGTGGGATCTCAGTTCCCTGCCAGGGATCCAACTGGTCCCCTGCTTTGGATGGCAGAGTCTTAACCACTGGACCATAAGGGAAGTCCCAATACCGTGTATTTTACACCCCAGACAAGCTGACCAACTTGCTCTAGCTTGCCCAGGACTTTCCTGGTTTTGGCAACCAAAGTCCCATGTCCTGGGAAACCCCTCAATCCCATGCAAGCTAGGCCAGCTGGTCCCACAAGCAGGTACCTGCTGAGCCCACCCCCCAGCTTTCCCAGTGACATCAGCACCTGTCTCACTCCGGCACCCTGGTTCCTGTCAGAGCCTCGACTCTCACAGGTCCTAACCTGAGCCAACCACCAGCACTTGTTCATCTCCGTCCGAACACAACACCTCAAACAACAGCCCATGTGCCAAGCCTCAGGAGTAGGATGGAAGGACTTAACGGGTAAAAACAGGATCCGGCCTGTGGCCCACATTCACGCTGCCCCACCTCGCTGGCACGTGGCTTGCTGTGGATTTAAAACACAGGTGAGGTGGTGTATAGTTTATTGAATGGACAAGTGGAGAGGAAAATGATAAACAGTTTTTCTGCCAACTCAACAGAAAAACTCCTGGTCACTGAAGTCACCGAGGGACTGGGGCCAGCCTTCTCGGTCCACACCCTGCAAGGGCACAGCTCTCAGCAGTCAGAGCAGCTGAAGGGGACCCGGGCCGCCAGTCCCAGAGCCCTGCCCCGGATCTCTAGTGCTGAGAGAACACAGCTCCCGTGACACTGTGAGCAGATGGCGGGCAGCTCTTCACGTGGGAATGGCACTCTCCATTCTCTGCTCCACTGGTATCCACAAACAATAGGGATCTACAAGAAAGGACAGGCAAGACCAATGGTTGGGAGTTCCCATCTGCACAGACTTAAACCAGCCAACCCTCCGGGGGGTGGTTCCCAGCAGATGGCATTAACTCACCAGCCAACCCTCAGGGGATCAGTTCCCAGCTGGTTCAGTTCCCACCTCAGGGAGAAATACCAGCCATTCCAGATCCCAGGTGAGCCCAAGGCCACTGACTCAGGACCCTGGGACTTCCTCAGCCACCTCCAGATCTAAGGCTGACCTAGGAGGGAAGAACCATGTAAGCATTTAGTCTCCAGCACCATCTCCTCCCTAGGTAACATCACTGAGGGTTCCAATCGACCAGGCCCAAACTTCCAATTTATGCAAGCTCAACTAGAATCACCAGAATAGATGCGGTAACAAAGAAAAACATCTCAAAAAGTTTGGTTTTTACAACAACAGATTTTCTTTCAAGCACCAGATCAGGAAAGACAGACTAGACTTTATTGCTGTCAGGGGCCCCGACACCAAACTCCCACTGTATCTTCATCAAAGGATGGACCACCACCCTCAGGAGCTCTCCCATCGTCATCCTATTCTGCAAAGACCCACTTAATATGGCCCGCCAAGAAAAATGGGAAGGCTAGCTGAGGAGCCCCAGGACCAGGGACTGGACAGGACAAGCCTCTCATGTATGTCAGGGGCAGAGGGCAGGTTTGAAAGCCAAGGGAACGCTCAGGCTGTTGGATGCCTACCGAGTACCCTGTGGCTCACATCTAACAGTCTCACTACCTTCACGTTATGAGATGCAAATAGAGACACCTAGCAGAACAGGATCAAACACGAATGTAGACAGGAGAGAACTAGACATGAGCCCTCAGACCAAATGTGGGGGAAGGGGGGCAGTGGTGAATGGGACCCCACCTCACCTTTATCTGGGAGCCGGACACACCTCTTGGGGTGCCATGTTGCATCTTCGGAGCATATTAAGCAAGGGCAGTGGTGGAGGGTTTCTGCCTCCCACCGAACACATCTGCAGCAGAGACAAAAGGCAGGTCATCAGCCCTCTGCTGATGAGGGCTGGGGGCTCCGTCAGCCACACCAACACGCACGTCAGTCATGGGCTGTCTTGAATAACATATTATGGGTTGTCCACACTCCTGTTAAGTCCACAGAGCAGAAGCCACAGTTTACAGCCCTCCCTCCCCACCCCACGCTCTTTCACACCACGTGAACTTATTCCAGTGTGAGGACCAAGTGTGCGCTGACTGGTTTCTGCCAAGAGGCTCCTGAACTTCGAAGACAAAGTGAACCCCTGCAAGTCCAAGGACCAGCAGAGGGCTAAGCTCTGAAGGGAATGGCAGGAGAAAAAAACTAGTGTGTGAAAGCTCCAGGGTTCGGAAGGGATGGCTGGGCCCTTCAAACACGGGGAAAGGTCTTTCAGGGATTCCTCTCCCTGCAGTATCGATGACCAGGGCACGGGCAGCCCGTAATCACTTTCGATGCAGGAGCAGCAAAGGGCAGAAGGGGAGCCAGAGAGGACAGGAGGCTGGCGCCAGGGGCCCGGGGAATGCCCAAGTCAGGGGCAGCAACCCAGCCCTGCCCAGTCACGTCGAGTCCCAGCAGCTTTGCAGCACCCTGCCAAGACCCCATAAGACCTCCCTGCCAGGGGGAGTCAACACACTTCCAGCATAAAAAACAGCTTTCTGGCTGAAAACAATCAGGATGTTGGTCAGGACACAGCCATGAAACCGGTTTTAAAACCTTCACTGCTATCCTAGCTTCCCTTTTCACGAACGTGGCTTCTGAGATGGCGGTCACAGGGCTAGACGGGTTCAGAGGTGGAACCAGAGCCTCTGGTGCGTAGACCCACATGTTCCCCATCACAAGACTTGGAAGGGAGGTGCCTGGGGAGCCCTTCTCCCAAGCAGGTTTCTACAGGGCCCTCCCCTGTGTACATAGGAGAGACCGCCTCACACCAGGATGCCTCTGTCACCCCACTTCCCCTTACATGATCACCCAAGCCCCAGGAAACATGCAGAAGACTTTACAAAACACACAAAACTCCACAGAATGGTCCAAACACCTTACCTGGGGCCCCGGGGCCTAGCGCCCGGCTGGCATGAAGATGGTGCCTCCCGTGGAACCTCTGTGCACACAGACCCATCTGCAAGAGAAAGGCCGTGAACGGGCGCGCAGGGCAGGCCCTGGGGGTCAGAGAACCACCTGGCACAGCGGCTGGCAGACTCCAGCACCCTCACAGGGGGCTGTCACCGTAGTCCCTGAACTGCCACACTACTGTCTCCAAAAAAGGACAAGGTGACTCTAGGAAGGGGTGTGCAGGTCATCTGGACAGGATTAACCCCCACGTCATCCTATGGGGCAACTGTGATCGATCTGCTGCTCATCCGTCTTGTTTTAAAAACAACATGCTGAGGTCAGGGTTTGGGGAGCAGCCTGTGGCCGACTGGCAGCGACCAGAATGGATCGGAAGGGCTAACAGGTGTAGGGGGAGGGCCATGGGTCCACCATCTACTATGAAGGTTATGTATACATGTATCCTCAACGACACTGTGCCCTGCCCAGTCGGTTACTAGAAAATCACCCCCGGCAGGATTAAAGGCAGGTAACAGTAAGCCTAGCTTTCATTAGAGAAACAACACATCCAGGGGAGAAGGAAAGGAGGCTGACCCGGCAGGCTGGCTTGCCGGAGGGCATGGCATCCTGACCCTCTGCAATGGGAGGAGTCTGATCTCCTTGCAACAGATAGGGCATCTCTACCTCTTTGGGTTTCTTTTCCCCCCTTCTATGACCAGCTGCTATAGCCAGTTATCAGACACAATGCAAAGAGGCACTGCCCTCAAGATCACAGCATAATGGGCACGACCAGCAAATCAAGTTTTCCAGGAGGAGTTAGTGCTGGGTGATGGGGCTGAGGATGTGGGAAGGGGTGTGGGGAGGAGGCAGAGAAAGCTTCCAGGAAGGGAGCCCTCCCCTGCCAGCCCATAGACTCCTGAGGCAGGGGTCTGCTTGGGAAGAGGGGCACTCAACGAGCACACAGCACTGGGTGCCAGGAAGCAACACGAATTGGGAGAAAGACAGACATGTGCGAAAGCGCCAGGGTTTGCAAGGGACAGGATGGACCCTCCAAACACGGGGAAAGGCTTTCGGCAATTCCTCTCCCTGCACTATCAATGACCAGGGCACGGGCAGCCCACAATCACTTTCGAATGCAGGGGCAGAGAAGGGCAGAGAGGGAGCCAAGCAGAGGCCACTGCCAGCATCCTGAGAGGCGGCCTGAACGAGGAACAGACCAGCAGACGGAGCACTGACCAGACTCACAGCCTAAGATGGCAGATCTGCCCTGGATCATTTCCCGGTCCCTGCCAAGAGACGAAGGGAAGGCTGACCGGCAGAAACTCGGAGAGCCCCTGGGTTCCAAAGGAGTGAGTGAACACACCACCAGGATCGGCACCAGACAGAATTCTCGCTCAGGCTCACAGACGAGCCCTCAGCTGGTCAGTGGGTGTGAACCTCCATTCTCTCAACATCACTGCGGCCTCCGCCCGGGACTCTCCGCAGCAGAAGAGAGCCGGGCCTCCAAGTGCACCCTCACTCCCCACGCCTCTGGCCTCCCAGTCTGCACAGAACTGGGAGGATGAGCAGGACAGAATGCACAGAATGAGGAGGACACCACTTACCTGGGTCTCAGCCTCGGCTCTCTCTGAGGACGACTCTCGCCCAACGGCAGCCACGTGACACTCCTGCGGGGGGAAAAGAGGCCGGCAGGTGATCAGCCCACCGGACAGGAAACCATCATCGTCACCAACAGGAAAACCCGGGTGTGAATGCTGGGGAATCACCTCCACCCTCAGTCCGCCTCAGGCTTGGCCACTGTGACCGCAACTAAAGGACTGTCTGGTTTGGAAGGGACAAGCAAGAATCGCCTGAATTATAAGGAACATTGTTGCAACTCTTCCTCGGCCCATATTACCAACAACTAGGACACAGGCAGCCTGTAATCACTTCAAATCCAGTGGCAAACAAGGTCTCAGGGCTGCTGAGACGGGAGACCAGAGTCTTAAGACCACATCAGTGGCAGACCCCACCCACATTCTTTCCCAAAGCCTCACGGGAACCAGCACTGAGCCAGGCGGAACACACATCAGCTGCCAGGAGGCGTCTAAAGCGGCAGTAGGAGGGAGAGGGTGTGTGACAGCTCCCGAGTTCAGAAGGGACAGGAGTGAACCCTCCAAACACGGGGAAAATGCTTTCAGCAATTTCTCTCCCTGCGCTATCAATGACCAAGGCACCAGCAGCCCACGATCACTTTCGAATGTAGGGGCAGAAAAGGGAAGATGGGGAATCAGGCAGAGGGGCCCAGGGTAGCAGCCAACTCTCCAGCCAGGCAGGGGAAAGCTGCCCAGCCGGGCCCAGGACCCCAGGCACTAGCCTCACTTCCTGAAAAGGTTCTACTGCCCCTCATCAAAAGAAGCCAGGGGAAGACCAACTTCTGGTTTAAAAAAAAAAAAAGCCTCAATTACTCATCCACCCCACAAATACCAACTGAGGACCTACTACATGCCAAGTACTGTGAGTTCAAAGACAAAGAAAAACACAGACCAGGCCTCTGCCCTTCCGGAGCGATTGCCATTTTCTCCCGTGAAGGAAAGGAAAGCTCAAGAGAATAAAGGAACTCACCCCAGGTTCCCCGGCTAACGAGGGGCTGAGTCAGGATCTGAACTCAGGCCTGCCTGGCCCCCAAACCCAGCCCCATCCTCCTGCACAAGGGCTTTGCAAGGCAGGTCCCAGAACCCTCAAGCCCAAGAACCACCCCCTGGGCAGTAGGGCAGGAAGGCCACAGCTCCAGCACTGCCCCAGGGGACAGCTCAGTCCCTGGACACCGCGGGGCCGCGGCAGGCAGTGTGGGAAGGGTCCTGCAGGAGAGGAGGGGGCGCCGCCCGAGGCAGGGTCTCCAGCTGTGCAGGGCCTGGCCCGGGAAAGACAGGGGAAGGCCTTCAGTGCGAAGCAGGGGCCCAGGAAGCCAGACTGCTCTTCTAGGGCCCTGGGGGCGCCCTCAGTTAAAGTGGAGGTTTGCACACTTTCCCTTAGAGGTTACCGACGGGAAATGGGCCAATGGTCACGACGATATTTGCCCTGCAACCGACAAGCGGCTTCAGGGGATCAAACGCTGGAGTCGGAGGTGATGGGAGGTGATAGGAGGTGATGGGGGGGGGGGCGGGGGGCTCTGGCGCACCACGGGTGCGGTTCACACCGGCTCCGCACGAACCTCCCTGCGAGACCTCGGGCCCACGCATCCCCGGACCCGCTTCTCGCCGTCGGCGGGTCCAAGTCTCCCCACGGATGGGTGAGGCCAGGGGACCCCCATATTCTGAAGCGGCGTCGGCCGGAGGCAAGACGACCAGAGGCCCCTCTGTCGAGAAGACAAGTCCCGAGAGACCCACACGCATCTCAGGGGACGGGCTCGGAACCGGGAGCGGCCCTGGGCTACGAGGCAACCTGCGGCCTGCGCTCCCCGCTCGGGTCTGTTTCCCCTTGGGCTGGGGAGGGAGCGGACCACGTGCCCGGCGCTCCCCCCAGAGGACTCACCCAGGGTGCCCCACGACCAGACGGCGCGGGAGAGCGGCGGAGACAAAGCCGACAGTGCGGCAAGATGCTGGTGTCCGCGGATGGCCCCGGATACGTGCAGATGGTGTGGAATCCACCACTAACCGTGGACAAACGGGCAAGAACCGCCTTCACGCTCACAGCGACGGCGGAAAGGAAGCTGAGGCGGGGCTTGCGGCCTAGAGCGGCGTTGCCTGGAGTGGATCCCGCGCAACCGGTTTTGCAGCGCCCTCTTGTGGAATGGAGTCCAAGTTCTGCGTCTGCATGACTGGGTAATTTCCAGAAGCAGCCTGGAATTTTGGCAGTAACATTCCTTCACCTGCTCTGCTCTTCTTTGTGTTCTGTTTGTTGTCATTGACTTGTCATTAATCTGTAGGAATGGTTACTCTTCTACTGTTGTTGTTTAGTCGCTAAATCGTGTCCAACTCTTGCAACCCTATGGACTGGTTGTCTGCCAGGCTCCTCTGTCCCTGGGATTATCTGGGCTGGAATCCTGGACTGGGTTGCCATTTCCTCCTCCAGGGGATCTTCCCGACCCAGGGATTGAACCTGCATGTCTTCTGTCTCCTGCTTGGCGGGCGGATTCTTTACCAGGGAGCCTAAGACAGGAACTGTTATTAGCAAGAGCTCACTTTGGTCGTGTTGAGTTTGGACAATAGGGGTTTTATCTGACTGACCATTGCATTCAGAGCACCTAGTTTCCGTGGCTGGCTCAGATGAACAAATGAATGAATTCTGACTGTGTATTCATTTGGACCTTGCCAGACTAAAATAGTGTTCCAATGACCTGCAACTGGAACGTGAGGATGACAGGGAGATAAGCCTAGCGTGGTGGGCAGGTGTTTTGCTAAAAGGTCACCCTAAAAGTAAAAGCAGCCTTGAAGCTGCTTTTGATCAAGAGGGACTTGATCATATTTGCATTTGGGGACCTGGTCAGATTTGCATTGTTCCAGAGAAGACAGAGGTCCCAACCTCTTGAAGGCACTGCAGACAGACTTGAGACAGGGCTCATGGCCTCTAATCACACAGGCACTAACACTGCCTGCATCCTCGGCCCAGTGTATCTCTCAGACCTGAAGCAACCCTGCCACTAACTCGGTCCACATTCTGAACTGCAGACAGTCCACGTGTGTCTGAGCAAGGGTCTCATTCCTTCACATTCCTGATGCTCACTAGCTCACTAGGTCAGTGCAGTGTGGAAATCAAGGCCTGACTGATACAACAAAGAGGAAAATAGGCGGAGGTGGTTTCTGAGGGTGAAAACACTCCATCGCTGTACCTGGGAGGAGCCGGTGCAGTTCTAAGACTGTGAGAACCTTGGGTGTCTCCGTGAGGGGGAGGAGTCGTGGGATGCTGTGGCTGGTGGGATGCTGTGGCTGGCGGGACACTGGACGAAGGAGCCAGGTGTGCACACAGCCCTGGTGTCCCCTCCTGCCTCCTGCTCTTGCCCTTACTCTCCGTGTGGCTATGACCTAACTTTGTCCAGCCTTAGTTTTCCTTTCTGGAAAACGGGCAGAGTCAGAGCCCCCCTCCTCATAGCGATTGCTGTGAGGATTAAATGAAACGGGACACATCCAGGACATAGCACAGAGCAGATGCCCAAGCATGGTAGTTGCTCTACATAAGTATTTTTGAAAAAGTCCAGAGTTTCTGTCACTGTGAGGACACCATGGATTATTTAGGACACCATGGGATTATGTATGAGGCAGAGAGAGTATGCTGTGTTTGAAGGGTCTAAAGGCAGTGCTATCCAGTAGAAATACAATGCCGGCTGAATGTGTAATTTTAAATATCCCAGGAGCCACATTAAAAACGTTAAGCAACTATACTCCAATAAAACTTAATTAAAAAAAGAAAAGAAAAGTAAGATTAAAAAAGGGGGCTTCTCTCATAGCTCAGTTGGTAAAGAATCTGACCACAATGCAGGAAACCTGGGTTCAACCCCTGGGTCAGGAGGATCCCCTGGAGAAGGAAACAGCAACCCACTCCAGTATCCTTGCCTGGAGAATCCCATGGACAGAGGATCCTGGCAGGCTACAGTCCATGGGGTTGCAAGAGTCGGACACGACAGTGATTAAACAAGCACCAAGGTTAAAAAAAAAAAGGTACAAAATGTGTAGAATGTACAAACAACAAGGTCCTTCTGTATAACAAGGAACTACATTCAATGTCCTGTGATAAACCATAATGGAAAAAGAGTGTAAAAAAGAATATAGGGGACTTCACTGGTGGCCCAGGGGTTAAGAATCCGCTTGCCAGTGCAGAGGACACAGGTTTGGTTCCTGGTTCAGGAAGATTCCATATGTGGTGGGGCAACTAAGCCTGTGTGCCACAGCTACTGAGCCTGCGTGCTGCAGCTACCGAAGCGCAAGCGCTCCAAAGGTCACGCTTCACAAGAAGAGAAGTCACCACAACGAGAAGCCAGGGCACCACAACCAGAGAGTAGCCCCCACTCACCGAAACTGCAGAAAGCCCAAGCGCAGCACTGAAGACCCAGCACAGCCAAAAATAAATAAATTTAAAACAATTTTTTAAAGAATATGTATATGGAGAGAGTCACTTTGCTATACACCAAAAACCAACACATTGTAAATCAACTATACCGCAATAAAAATAAATAAAAAATTTTAAAGTACCTAAAAGGTGAAATTAATTTTAATAATATATTTTAGTTAACACAAGATAATCAAAATATTATTTCAATATGTAATCAATATTTTTAAATTATGAATAAGGTATTTACTATTTCTTTTCCTTTGCACGTAGTCTTCGGAATCAGTGCATGTTTTATACCGACAGCACGTTGCAGCTGGGACTGGCGATATTTCAGTGCTCTGTGACCACACGGCCTGGTGGCTGCTGTGTCCATCAGCCCAGGTCTCAGGCCATCTGGCTTCGATCAGCCCTTTGGAGCCAGAGGACAGAAACAGCAAGTGGGAGACTGAGAGCAAGTCCCGTCCACAGGCCCCACCCACGAGCCTGGGACCTCCTAAGAGGCGCTGGGTCTCCTGCTCCACTCAGATGGGGAGCCTCATAGTGCTAAGCTGGAGAGTAAGGGGAAGCTGCCTTCAGAAGGCTGGGAAAGGTCAGAGCCATGATTCCAACCTAGATAATCTGCATCTTTGTGCCCATGATGCCAGGGAGGGAATCTGGGCGGATTCATTTCTGCATTCCCAGTGTCTAGAGGAGGCTGGCCATCTAAAAGGTGTGGCTGATGCTTGTCGTTAGTTAGATTAACAAGACATTAAAATAGATATTTCAGCCGAGGTACCAAGGAGGCACCAAAATACAGGAAAGAATAGCTGAACAACAACAAATCACTGTTGTAATTTTTGAAGGTTCCCCACCTGATAAAATGGCAGCTGCCTTCCAAAAAGGGTATTGGATTAGAGGTAGAATTTAGGAAGAAATAACTGGAAAATGGTTGCTTGTAACTCAATCCTCTAGTTTGAGGGTATTAACAGTATAGTGGGGCTTCCCTGGTGTCCAGTGGTTAAGAAACTGCCTTGCAATGCAGGGGCGACTGGTTCGATCCCTGGTCGGTGAAGATCCCACGTGCTGCCGAGCCACTAAATCCGTGTGCCAGAACTACTGATCCCGCACACAGCAACTACTGAAGCCACATGCCCTAGAACCGTGCTCTGCAACAAGAGAAACCACCACAATGAGAGGCCCACGCACTGCAACTAGAGAGAAGCCCCTGCTCTCTGCGATTAGAGAAAGCCTGTGCAAAGCAATGAAGACCCAGCACAACCATAAATAAATATATACTTTTTTTTTAAAGTACAGTGTTAGACATGAAAAAGAGGGAATTATGGGCTCTATGCCTTAAAATAGTCCCTCCTCCTTCGCCCCCAAGAGGAAGAGTAGGAGGAAGTTCCTTTTTCTCTGGTGATCCTCATACCGGGAGCTCCAGCAGGAGCACCTCAGAGCTTGATAAATGTTACCTAGCATTGGAAAGCCCAGGTGACCCGTGCCCAACCCCTTCTTCAGTCAAAGGTACATTGTCTTCTTCGGCAGGTGTAGAATCTGGGGTAGGACTAGCTACCTGATGCCCGAGAGGTTCTACTTTAGACAGAGCCTGCTGTCTAAAGGGGTAGGGGGTCCCCAAGAAGAGGGCCTGTTCACATCACGTGGGGTTCAGTCAAAGGGCAGCAGGAGGAGGATCTCTGAAGAATCCCTGAAATAGGGGCCGAGGGAGAACGCACAGCCTTAATTTCAGGTCCAGCCTGGAGAGAAATGTTCCCCCATCTCACTCTTCAATTCACCTGATCCTGGAGGTGCTGGGAGTGGGGGGTAGGGGGACTGAGCAGAGACCTGGTGACTAGAAACACATCTGGACGAGACAAGGGAGAAGGTTCCCATCCCTTCCGAGCACACAGCAGCCCACCGTCTGCTTGGTCCCAGACAGTGGAGAGCAGAGAAGTCTTAACTATCAACAGTCACTGAAAACACGATGAATATATGAGATGAACATTTAAATTAATGGAATAGAAATCATGTTCGCTATTTTTAGTAACACAAGACTTATTACCTAAGAAGGAACAGAGAAGTTATGAGGACGGCCTGATATTTTTCTAAAGATAGGGAAAAGATATTTCCATTTAGAAAGTTTAAAGAGAGAGGCAAAATATATATATATTTTTTATGATGACATACGAAAAGTCTCACTTTCAAAATACTGATCGCATTTATAAAGGATAGGGCTGTGACTGGGAGGCCAACATTCTGTCATCTTGGAGTTTGTGACCTCACAGTGGCTGAGAGATTCCTGCTGCCTGGACTTGGCAGGGCTGGGGTGCGGAGATGAGGTCTCAGCTGGCTAAACAGATTGTCCCAAGGAAGTGATGCCCAGGGTCTAGGCCGGAAGTCAGCAGCTGGCCTGGTGAGCCCTGCAGGAGCTCCAAGCTCCATCCCCGCACTAAGAATGAACACCATACTGGCAGTTCTGATTATCCTGTTCCTCGTTCTCCTCCTCGTCTTATTGATGCTCTGTTACTACGTCTTTCAGGAGGAATAGGCTTGGGCTTCTGCACCCTGGGACTGAGGCCCAGTGGTAGCCTTGGCCAGTCCAGCCGCCCAGGGTCTCTGCTGTCCTGTGGCCCGGGTCTGGGCCTGTTTGGGGGTCTTCAGCAGCCCCAAACCCTCACTGGATGCTCGGACAGACTGAGATGAAACAGAGGGTCTCTCTACCAGGGTCAGTTCCTACCGAGGTCTCAGCACCCCCACTTCCCTGGGTCCCCTAGCTGGGTTCTCTGACTCCCACGACCTCTCTGTTACTAGTCTTGCTTCTGGTTCATTTTTATCCTGGGCTGAAGGCCACTGATTCTGGAGAGGGGGTCAGTGTGAGCTCAGTGGTTTAAATGGCTCAGGCCTCTGCCATGGGGGCAGACAGGAGAAGATGTGGCTTTCTCCCTTCAGAAACTGGCAGGCTGGGCCCTGGGGGACCAGAGTCCAAGAGAAAGACTGATAACTTTGGCTGGTGACATTGGACTTTCCTTCATTTGGTGTTGGACAATCCTTGAATACAACCTTTTTGACTAATGACTCTGGGCGGTCTTAGCTATTTAACTTGAGTTTCCCTGAACAACAGTTTTGGGCCTCCTTTGCTAATAACTGAGATGTTTGTGGCTAATTAACTTAAACTTTCCTGGCTTGAGAATCATTAACTATTTTGCCTGAATACTTGAGCATTCCGGGATAATGATACTTGATTTTGGCTCATTCTCTCACATCATGCTAGTTGACAATATCAATTCTTTACTCTTTTTTAATATTTATGTATTTATGCGTTTGTTTATTTGGCTGTGCTGAGTCTTAGTTGCAGCATACAGGACCTTCTATCTTTGCTGTGTCATGTGAATTCTTAGTTGCGGCATGTGCGATCTAGTTTCCTGATCAGGGATGGAACCTGGGCCCCCTGCATTGGGAGTGCAGAATTGTAGCCTCAGGACCACAAAGGAAGTCCCCAATTCTTTACTTTTATGACCTTGGGTCATCCTGGTCAAGGGCAGCAGACATCCCTGACTAATTTTCTGGAGCTTCTAGGATAAAAATAGAAAAATTCTTCTATGATTTCACCATTATGTATGAAATTGACTGATGGTTTCCCTGGTGGCTCTGTGGTAAAGAATCCGCCTACCAATGCAGGAGACATAAAAGATGCGAGTTCGATCCCTGGGTCAGGAAAATTCTCTGGAGGAGAGTATGGCTACCCACTCCAGTATTCTTGTCTGGAGAATCCCAGAACAGAGGAGCCTGGTGGGTTAGAGTTCACTGGGTCAAAAAGAGTCAGATATTTAAAAAAAAAAAAAGAGATATGACTGAAGTGACTAAGCACAATGTTTTATGATGTATATTCTATTTTTAGATTTCTAAGAATTTTTATAGCTATGAATATTAATTTTTAATCAAATTATGATGACCATGGTAGTAGCTAAAATGTATTACTAGTTTACTATTTAGTGTAAGACATCAACTACTGAAAAAAGCACTTATCGTATTCACATATTTCAATGCATTATTTTACCTATTTTAATTTTTAAAAAATATTTATATATTTATCTGGCTGCATCGAGTCTCAGTTGCGGCACACGGGATCCTCACTGCGTCTTGTGGGATCTTTCTTCACGGGGCACTGACTCCAGTTGTGTCTTGACGGCTTAGTTGCTTCAAGGCATGTGGGATCTTAGCTCCCCGACCAGGAATTGAACCTGTGTCCCCTGCTTTGTAAAGCAGATTCTTAACTTCTGGACCTCTTGATGAAAGTGAAAGAGGAGAGTGAAAAAGTTGGCTTAAAGCTTAACATTCAGAAAACTAAGATCATGGCATCTGGTCCCATCACTTCATGGGAAATAGATGGGGAGACAGTGGAAACATTGTCAGACTTTAATTTTGGGGGCTCCAAAATCACTGTAGATGGTGATTGCAGCCATGAAATTAAGAGACACTTACTCCTTGGAAGGAAAGTGATGACCAACCTAAAAAGCAGAGACATTACTTTGCCAACAAAGGTCCGTCTGGTCAAGGCTATTTTTCCAGTGGTCATGTGTGGATGTGAGAGTTGGACTGTGAAGAAAGCTGAGTGCCAAAAAATTGCTGCTTTTGAACTGTGGTATTGGAGAAGACTCTTGAGAGTCCCTTGGACTGCAAGGAGATCCAACCAGTTCATCCTAAAGGAAATCAGTCCTGAATATTCACTGGAAGGACTGATGCTGAAGCTGAAACTTCAATACTTTGGCCACCTCATGTGAAGAGTTGACTCATTGCAAAAGACCCTGATGCTGGGACGGATTGGGGTCAGGAGGAGAAGGGGACGACAGAGGATGAGATGGTTGGATGGCATCACTGACTCGATGGACATGAGTTTGAGTAAACACCAGGAGTTGGTGATGGACAGGGAGGCCTGGCATGCTGCGATTCATGGGGTCGCAAAGAGTCCGACATGACTGAGTGACTGAACTGAACTGAACCTCTGGACCACCACGGAAGTCTCTTAAATTTTTGAATTTTAAAATAAGCATAACATAAAATGTATGATCTTAGCCATTTTTTAAAAATTGTTTAAGTCTTTATTGAATTTGTTATAATATTGCTTATGTTGTTTATGTCCTGGTTTCTTGGCCATGGGGCATATGGGATCTTTGCTCCCCGATCAGGGATCGAACCTGCACTCTCTGCATTGGAAGGCAAAGTGTTAACCACTGGACTAGCAGGGAAGTCCCCATCTTAGCCACTTTTAAGTATTCAGCTCAGTAGTGTCCAGTACATTCACATCGTTGTGCAGTCAATCCCCAGAAATCTTATCATCTTTCAAACGGAAACTTACAGCCATCAAGTAGTAACTCCACTTTCCCCAGCCCCTGGCAACTACCATTCTACTTTCTGATTCTGAATTTGACTAATCAAGGAAACTTGTGTAAGTAGAATCATTCAGTTGTTGTTCTTTCCTTGCTAAGTCATGTCCAACTCTTTGGGACCCCATGGACTGTAGTCGGCTAGGTTCCTCTGTCCATGGGATTTCCGAGGCAAGAATACTGGAGTGGGTTGCCATTTCCTTCTGCAGAGGATCTTCCCAGGCCAGGTATCAAACCCACATCTCTTGTGTCTCCACCATTGGTGGATGGATTCTTTACCACTGAGCCCCTAAGGAAGCCTGGAATCACTCAGTATTTGTCCTTTTATAACTGGTTTATTTCACTTAGCATAATATCATTAAGGTTCATGTATCTCATAGCATTTGTTTTTTTCCTTTTGAGGGCTGAATAATATTCCATGTGTGATAGACCACATCATGTTTATCCATTTATTCGTCAATGGACATTTGAGTGGCTTCTACTTTCTGGCTATAGTGAATATATTGCCATGCACGTGGGTGGACAAATATCCCTAAAGACCCTGCTTTCAGTTGTTTCAAGGATATATCCATAAGTGAAATTGTTGGATCCTACAGCAATCCCATTTTTAATTTTTTGAGCAACCACCATACTATTTGCCCTGGTGGCTGCACCAGAGAGTTCCCTGGCAGCCTAGTGATTAGGATTCAGCGCTTTCACTGCTGTGGTCTGAGTTCAATCCCTGGTCAAGGAATTAAGAATCTGCAAGCTGCATGGCACAGCCAAAAAAATTTTTTTTCACACAGTAGCTGTGCCATTTTGCCTATCTGACCTACTTTAGAGTTGAAAAACTGAGACTCAGAAAGATTAAAAATTTTTATGTGTATTGAATTTATTCCCCAGGACTGCCATTAGAAAGTACCACAAACTGGGTGGCTTAAAACAGAAATGCATTCCCTCACTATTCTGGAGGTTAGAAGTCCAAAATCAACGTGACAGCAGGGCCATGTTCCCTCTGAAACTCTGGGTAAGATTCTTCCTTGCCTCTCCCTAGCTTTTGGTGGTGCCCATCAACCTTGGGAGTCACAAGGCATTCTCCTGGAATGCCTTTCTCCTTACTTGTAAGGACACCGGTCCTATTGGATTAATGGTCCTTCCTCTTGCAACATGACCTCATCTTAACTTACCTCTTAATTACATCTGTAAAGACTGTTTCCACAGCAGGTCACATTCCCAGGTACCAGGTGTTATGACTTCAACATAACACCTTTTGAGGGGTCATAACTCAATCCATCATATCTTGTCTTCTTCCCGATTCTGTGATATCTACCACACTTTTGACATCATTGCAATAAACTACTAGACTTCCCAATGGAAAACCATGCTAGCATTTGTGGGACAGAACTAATTTGATATGGATTATTAGACCATAAGCTTGGAACAAGGCAGACACAATGGGTTTCTTTCATTCATCCCTATACCTCCTGGTCATTAAGTGAAAGAAGTGAAAGTGAAGTCGCTCAGTCGTGTCTGACTCTTTGCGACCCCGTGGACTGTAGCCTACCAGGCTCCTCTGTCCATGGGATTTTCCAGGCAAGAGTACTGGAGTGGGTTGCCATTTCCTTCTCCAGGGGATCTTCCTGGCCCAGGGATCGAACCTGGGTCTCCTGCATTGCAGGCAGACACTTTACCGTCTGAGCCACCAGGGAAGTCCCGGTCATTATACGAATAGAAAAACAAAAAGCAGCATTTGAAAAGGGGCATAGCTTTTCCAGTGCCTTTATGGGGAAAAATCCTTAACTGAACAGTTGTTTGGGGAAATGTTTAGATGGTAGTTTTCCTTGTTCCTTTTTTAATTTCCTGCCAGTCAGGCTGTGATTGCCATCTGGTGGCCACACCCACTAGCACAGTACCTGCCCAGAGTGGAAGCACGCACTTACCATGTATTGAATGAATGAATGAACAGAAGGTTCACTGGCAGAGCAGTGCGCTTGCCCCCTTTTTGCTGCTACTGTTCTGTTTTGATGACCAGTAGCAAGTGGCTGGTGGCTTCTCCTCCCCCAGAGCCTCCTTAAGCCCATTTTGTCCACTCCTGAAAGAGCCTTGTTCCAGGCAGACCGAATCATCAGCCTACTCCTGTTCTGGATAGGTCCCCAACACATCCCCGCCAGCAACAGACTCACTTCAAACATCCATCCCTTCAGGAGTTTGCAGAGCATGCACTGCAATTTTGTTTTGTATTTAACGTCTGCAGACACACTGCTGACTGACAAATAAGGCCAAGCCACTGAGCATGGACTGTTATCTGAATGCCCCAAGCAAAGGCTGTCACACTACTTTTGTTTCGAACCTTCGACATGCTGCCCTGTTTGCTGCTGTCTCGTTAGGTAGGCCAGTGCCGTAGATGAGAAAGTCATCTGAGATAAACACACACAGCGCATCAGGCAGCTGCCGACCTCCCATGCTCCATGCCACTGGTGGAATACCTTAATAATTGGCCATGGACGGGCTTTTCGCCAGGAGTGTTGGAGACAGAAACCTAACATATGCTAACAAAGAATTACATTATTGGGAAGCTTATTTAATTGAACAAGAGGAAGGGCAGAGGTGGAACTGAGCTTCCAAGGTGACAAACACCAGGGACTGAAATGCTACCAGGACTCTCTGTCCTGCATCTCCCCCTCTCTCTTTCTGTGGACTTCCGACTTTACATTTACTCCATTTCTTGCATATGAGGTAGCAGGGGGATACATGCTGGGTTTTCCCTGAAGTACACATCCATCCACCTTCTACTGATGGGAGGCAGGATTGCCACATATGGTTGTGCAGGTTGAGCACTGCCCAACTCATGGACATGCCATTCATATTATTGTCTCTTGCTGAGAAGCAGAGATATTAGGGATGCTTGGTTGAACATAGCAAACACTTGATGCTTTCCTAGTGCATCCTTCTCTGGGCCAGCAGAGTCACCCTATGTACTACCATCCTGAAGGAGGGGGGAATTCAAAAATCTCCATTCTAATCCTTAAATGGTGGGCCCTTCTAATGAAGACTCTTGGGAATATCTTTTTTTGCCCCTCCCACGCTGCACAGCATGTGGGATCTTAGCTGCCCCACCAGGCATTGAACCTCGGCCCCGGCATTAGGAAACTCGGAGTCTTAATCACTGGACCACCAGAGTAGTCCCTGGAAGTATCTTTAAAGAGCAACACTTGGGGGGAATTTTCCCACAAGCTTCATGAGGACAAGTGGAAGATATTAATAACTAAACCTGTGACAGTGTAACCCATGCAGGTCCATTAGAATAAGAGAAAGGTTTGCAAGAAGTAGAGGGACCTTCTGAGAAATGCAATCCTTAACTCCACAATCTTGGAACTCTCAATTCTCAGCTACTTTCCAGGCCAAAGGACAGGCATGTCCACCTTTCTGTAGCTGGGGGAAGAGTCACCCATCTGGGAGGTGTCTCATCTCACGGGTGGGTTGGGAGGTACTGGGCGTGCAGAGGGGCCTAGGTGTTGAGCATGCATACATCTCAGGGTCTCTGTGGCTTGTCCTGCTTGGGACGCTTGGCCAAGACCCTGCTCCTTCCTGGGTGAGCTCATTGGGTAGGCAGGCCATACCCAGGGATACAGTGGGTGGAGGGTGGGTAACAACAGCGAAAGGAAGAGGGGCCGAAAGGTGGTCAAATCTGAGCTGGGTCCTTTGTCCACCTATTATACTGATCAAGCCTGGTTCTACCTGAGATTTACCAATATATTTTTAGGATGTTTACATTTCTAAATAAATTAGCTTATAATTTATTTTTTCTTTTATTGACCCTTTCTAATTTGGGAATTAGGTGAACTTAGAACTGTTTTCTCTTTTTCTCTTATCCAGGAGGCTGTATAATATAAAGCTTTGTAGAACTTACTTATTAAGACACTCGGTTATGATGTTTTCTTTATGGGAAGACTTAACTACTGATTCAATTCCTTCCAGTGTTATGAAATTATTTGGGTTTTCTATTTTTTCCTTAAGACAATTCTGTTAAATAGTTTCCAGAAAAGTGCTCATTTTACCAAAGTTTTAAATTTTACGAGTAAAAAGTCAAATAGATTGTTCTCTCATTTTTTTACTTTCTGCTCTGATTGTACCAACTTCCTCATTGCTAAAATTGTTTGGCTATGTTGCTCTAAATATGATAATACTCATTTTCTGCTATTTTAGTTTCTACTCTTGTTGTTTTATTGATTTTCACTTTGTTTGGATCCTTTCAGTTGTCCTTTTTCTCATTTTTTAAGCCCTCAGGAGCCAGGAGCTGACTGAGACACATGGAATTTTTCTTACACTTCAGAATCAAGTGAGCCCCTCTGCCATTACAACAAAGAAAATTTCTCTTTCTTCTCTTGCATCAATATTTAAAGATCATCTATTGCAGGCCATGCAATGAGATGCCCCATCCAGTTTCTAACTTCTTCACATCCCAGCACATACATCCACTCCCCCATCCTTACCCCAACATCAGCTTCTTAGTCTTTCTCTTCCTCCCTTTTCTGAACATCTTCCCATTTCCCTTTTCTGTCTGAGTCCTTCAAAACCCCAATAAGGCACACTTCCACCGTGAAGCCATCTCAATTTGGAAATTGGTTGAAGTATGAGTCTATTCATAGCCTGACAACTAGCCTCCAAGCTTTTCAGGATCCACACTCTCTCACACTCGAGATACAAAGTTAAAGAAGAAAGTATAGTTTTCCCAGCTTCAGCCCCTCGCACAACCTTTGTCAGAAGGCAGGACACCATAATTGACGTTCCCAGCAAGACTGAATTCAATAGGAAGAGTGAATGCCACAGAAAATCAGAGAGAAGAGAAGGAATAGACAGGTCAAAACTACAGACGTCCTAACCATTTAATAGTCGGATTGATGGTTGGGGAGATGGAATAAGGCTTGAATACTTGGCGGGTCAGAGTTTCAACTCCGATCCACTAGGGGGCGCGAAGAGACTGCTAGCGCGGGGTCCATCCGGGGATTCGCCGCTCTAGGCCCCAGCCAGACTCTCAACTGCAGTTCCGCCGGTGCCCAACAGATGGAGGGCGGGTCCTGTCTCCGAGTCGCCGGGAACCGTTCAGCATCTCACGTTGTCCAGTTTGACCTACAGCCGACAGTCCTGGCGCCCCGGGTGAGTCACGCAGGACCGCCCCGGGACCCACGGCGGCCTCTAAGGCCGATTCTCCCTCCCCCCCTGCCCCCGACAGGAGGGGAAACAGAGGCCCGAGGGGTCGGGGAGTGCAGGTCAGCTTCAAGCCCAGTCTCACTCTTGGTTCTGAGCCGGTTCCCTTAGCTGCATGTGGACCTCTCTGCACTCGTGTTCTTGACAAAGGGGCCTCGAGTCACTGCACTACCGGCCGGCGCCGTTTTGGAGCGTCGGGTCCCGGGCCTCACTCGCCCGGTGGGGAGACTTGGGCCCACCGACGGCGAGAAGCGGGTCCGGGGATGCGTGGGCCCGAGGTCTCGCAGGGAGGTTCGTGCGGAGCCGGTGTGAACCGCACCCTTGCTGCGCCAGGGGCCCCCGATCACATCCCATCACCTCCGACTCCAGGGTTTCATCCCTGCAGCCGCTTGTCGATTGCAGGGCAAATATCTTCGTGACCATTGGCCCATTTCCCGTCGGTAACCTCTAAGGGAAAGTGTGCAAACCTCCACTTTAACTGAGGGCGCCCCCAGGGCCCTAGAAGAGCAGTCTGGCTTCCTGGGCCCCTGCTTCGCACTGAAGGCCTTCCCCTGTCTTTCCCGGGCCAGGCCCTGCACAGCTGAAAACCCTGCCTTGGGCGGCGCCCCCTCCTCTCCTGCAGGACCCTTCCCACACTGCCTGCCGCGGCCCCGCGGTGTCCAGGGACTGAGCTGTCCCCTGGGGCAGTGCTGGAGCTGTGGCCTTCCTGCCCTACTGCCCAGGGGGTGGTTCTTGGGCTTGAGGGTTCTGGGACCTGCCTTGCAAAGCCCTTGTGCAGGAGGATGGGGCTGGGTTTGGGGGCCAGGCAGGCCTGAGTTCAGATCCTGACTCAGCCCCTCGTTAGCCAGGGAACCTGGGGTGAGTTCCTTTATTCTCTTGAGCTTTCCTTTCCTTCACGGGAGAAAATGGCAATCGCTCCGGAAGGGCAGAGACCTGGTCTGTGTTTGTCTTTGAACTCACAGTACTTGGCATGTAGTAGGTCCTCAGTTGGTATTTGTGGGGTGGATGAGTAATTGAGGCTTTTTTTTTTTTTTTTAAACCAGAAGTTGGTTTTCCCCTGGCTTCTCTTGATGGGGGGGCGGTAGAACCTTTTCAGGAAGTGAGGCTAGTGCCTGGGGTCCTGGATCTGGCTGGGCGGCTTTCCCCTACCTAGATGGAGAGCTGGCTGCTAACCTGGGCCCCTCTGCCTGATTCCCCATCTGCCCTTTTCTGCCCCTACATTCGAAAGTGATCGTGGGCTGCCCGTGCGTTAGTCATTGATAGTGCAGGGAGAGGAATTGCTGAAAGCATTTTCCCCGTGTTTGGAGGGTTCATGCCTGTCCCTTCTGAACTCGGGAGCTGTCACACACCCTCTCCCTCCTGCTGCCTTTTTAGATCTGCCTCCTGGCACCTGGTGTCCAGCTTACTAAGTGCTGTGAGGCTCAGTGCTAGTTGCTGAGAAGCTTTTAACTCATTGTTGACCAGGGGATTTTTGCAGAAACTAATGTCTGTGGCCAGTGATTTGTTATGAAAGTGATATTGATGCATCTGCAGTCAATAATGTTTGGGTAAAAAAAGATGTATTAATAATAAGTCTCTGGTCAATAATGTGTTTTTAAAAAAAGGAAGATAAAGCATGGGCTGTTTCTTAGAAGCTGGGGCTGGTTATGCAGCCACTGTTTGGGTAATTTTCACCAAGAACATCCCTCCAGAAAGCCAGGTCCACCTCCCCTCTTTCCCCTTTCCAGGTCCTTAGTCCAGCTTGTGGTCTGGAGAGGCTTGACATAAGGTGAGGATACTAATCATCTTTCATGGGAATCATTGGTTTTCTTGTCTTTTGCCTGTCTCTGCTCAGATCTCAAGGTCAGTGCCGTGAGTATCGCCTGCTTGGTGCCTGGCAGGTGTCTGGTGCTCAGCAGCTGTGCAACATCTGCCCAGCAGGAGAGAAGGACAGGTCAGACACATCCCAGTGAGGTGGCGTGGCCCATCACGTCATGGAGAATCAGGGAAAGACTGCTTGTGGCCAGCCATCCTGGGCAGAGGTGGAGGTACTTCCTGTGTTTCTTTTCTTGGAGTTGTTCTTCCTGTTGACCAGTATTTATCCGTTGGAGGTTCCTTGGCATGAGACAGAGCCCAGTCAACTAAGGGAGAGTTCCCCAGGACCTGTGGTTACGGTGGCAGAACGGGAACAGTAATGCACTTGGACAAGCCTTAAATAGCAGGAATCACAGTAGTAATGCAATTGGACAAGGCCTGAATAGACACCAGACCTCACCTCTGCAGGAGGCCTGAGGTGCCTTTACCTCCTCACACACACCCCCAGCCCCTAACCCCTAACCCCCTGCCCAGGCCAGACATGGCCTGTGGGATGCCACACACTCGAAAACCTATCCTGGACTTTCTCTTTCTATTCAGGATCCAGCTTCCAACATCTGTACAGAGTCATCTGAGTTTGCACAAAAGATGATCTGAAAAGCCATCTCTGTCCCAGATGCAGATGAGTTGTTGTCCTATGTGGAGTAGCGAACTCCTGTCCTGGGAATGAGAGGTGTGGCTCGTGAGTTGGGAACACAGCCCACGTTTGTGAAGCAGCCAGCTTCTCAGAGAACCAGGTACTCTGCCTGGGTTCCAGGACATGTGGTGACCAGGTGGCATCTAGGTTGCTCATCCAGGACTTCTTGATTGTTGCAGAGGAAGCAGCATGGTGCCTGGGGGTTCCTGAGAGGTGTCCCCATCCTGTCAAGAGGCAGCTGGCCCAGGTGAGTTCTGTTCCCTGGAGATCGGGGGCTTTGCCTCCTGCATGGTGCGTGAGGTCTCGTGTGGTCTGGGAATAGACAGAAGAGAGGTAAGGGTGACTTGGTCCTGGCGCTCAGCTTCACCTTCTCCGGGTCTTTGAGGACACACCTGGTTCCTCTTTGTGTGCGTGGTCCTGAGAGCCCTTGGGGAGCCCTTCCTCAGATTGTTACGTGGGCAGCAGAATGTGTGGAGCGGGGAAAGGATTCTGACATGTCCCCTGTACCCGGGTGTCACTCACTTCTCTGCCTCCTCCTGCCTCTGGGACCTTCTCCTATCTCTGGTTTCATCCTCCAGAAAGCAGGACTGCAGTGAGGCTATTTGTCTCCGGCTCATGTCATCCCGGTCTGTTACAACCTAAGAACCCCGTCACTTTTCTTTCAGAGGTGTCCTCGCTTTGTCTGTCCCTTCTGGGCCATGTGGAAGGCTTTTTAGCAGGACTAGAAGCAGATACTGGGTCCTCATGCTCAATTGGGCTGACTGCTCCAAGCCTCTGCCACTGGCCTCCTTTTTCAGTAAGCCCTCTGTCCTTTTCTGCCACTGCACTTGGAAGTGATCCTGGGCTGCCAGTGGCCTGCTTACTGGTAGTGCAAACAGAGGAAACATAGCAGGGGTGTCTCGCATCCTCACTCCCTAGTTCTGGGAGATTTCTACACTTCTGTGTCTCTTCTGCCCACCCCTTGGGCCTCCAGGGCCTTGGGGTCTGTTGGGGTGTGCTAGTGTCATTGCTGGGGTGTTTCCTTCTGGCTCCTGCTGTTGGGAAACAGGCTCCTTTTGTGTGTTGCTTAAGTTCCCCTTGATGCCCAGTTGTCAGTCGGCCATAGCACGTTCCCATAAATCTGGCGATGGCATCCTTTTCTGCCTGTTACTGATCAGTTACACATCAATCAGCATTGGCACCCTGCCACAGACCATCCACTGTCTCCTTTTTCAGAGTTAACTACTGTTTTTGTGTGAAGAAATAGCATGTCTTTTCAGGAAGTAACAACAGCCAACACTTGGAGGATGTTTACTGTCTGGTAACTCTGTGCTAAGCCCTTTCCTGGTGCCTTTGCCCTCCTGTGAGCAGGGGCAAGTCGAGCGCTCACCTTTGGCTTCTGGTCTGTTGCAGACGAGTCCACTGTGTGCAGAGGGGTCATGGAAGCTGTCATGTCAGGAGCATTCTAGACCCCAGTGTCCTTGAGGTAAGATCTCTGGTCCATTCTCTAGAGTGTTGGGTCCTCTCACACAGTGGTCATGTGTGTGTTCCCAGGGCCTTTGGGTGAAGATGTAGGGGAGCTGAGAGGTGGGATGAAAGCAGCATCCACGAGTCCCCAGGTCCACTCACCACCCCAGCCCCGGGCAGCCTGGATCACGTCTGGCGCTTTGCTGTCTTCAGCGGCTGCTGCAGGGATGATACCTCTCGAGTCCCATCAGGGCACTGGGAGTTATGGGGTATCTGCCCTCCTCCCCGGAGTGTGGGCAGAAGCATGTGAACCTGGGTGTCAGAGTGAACCTGGGCGCCAGAGATTCCGCCCCTGGGCTTGAGGCTCCTTTGACTGCCATCTCAGTCAGCATCCTCTTCAGAACCTGGTTTCTGTCATTTGAAAAACCACAGCTGTGTCGGAGGTGACTTGGTGGTACCCAAGACCATGCGAGTCCTGTAATCTCCAGTCGTAATATTTTCCCAGTGTTTCTGCCCAGCGTCGGGCTTCTCCTCGCAGAGCGCTGTCTGCCCCGGATGCACCTGCATTCAAAAGAGACCACGGGCTGTCCGTGCTCTGGTCGTTGACAATGCAGGGAGAGAAATTGTGGAAAGCAATTTCCCGAGTTTGGAGGGCCCGCACCTGTCCCTTTCAAATGCTGGCGCTTTCCCACACTCCAGCTTCTCTCCAGCCTGAGCTTCCCCCTCAGGCGCTGGGGGCTCCTTTGTGACAGGCAGTGACGTCTCAGCGTGGCCTCCTGTTACCAGAGCCAGGCCGTGGCCATGTCAGGCTTTGAGACATTAGGGGCTGCAAGGAGCCAGGCTGCGTTACGCATAATGAACACGCACGATGTCGGATGGTGTGTGGTCACTGCTGTAAGATTGTCAAGGGGAGCAGCTGTTGGGAGGAGGCGGTGGACCGGCCTTGGAAGGACTGAGATGTGATGACCACAGGAGGGACTTCAGGGGGAAGGGAGGAACATGAGGATGAGCTGAGGCCGGGGTGAGTGTCGCACCTGGGAGTCGGGTGTGCAGGCAGGTAATGGAAGTGTGGGGGGAGGGCTGCTGGCGGTGGCGGTCCCCCTCCGACATACAGTGGGGGGCGGGCCGAGTGGGAGGAGATCCTGAGAGCAGGCTCTCCAGCCGCCTCTCTGCCAGTTCCGACGTTTGCTCTGTTACCCTCAGGTGCAGTTTTAAAAAGATAATGTTCCTTTAGACTCTTCTCTGGGAGCTTTGAGATGTCCTTTTTGAGCTGAGTTTGGTGTGACTGACTATTTGGGGGCATTCTCACAGATGTTGGCTTGAAGAAACGTGAGGTAACATCGGAGAGCACCCCCCTGTTGTGACCTCCTGCCCTGTGACCTCCCCATCACGCTGGGGGTGCTGCCTTGGAAGACGCCTCAGGGATGGGAGCACTGGCCTCTCAGGATGGTGAGCTGGGTCCCAGCTCCGCTGGAGGAGCCTCCTCGTGGTGAGTTACTGCCAAGGAGCTAAGTGGGCCTGTGTTTCTGAGACAGACATTCCGAGCTGCCAGCCGCATCTGACCGCCTCCTCTAGGTTGTTTTGGGTCTGATCACAGCCTAGCAGACTGAAGAGGGGTGTTGCTGCATGACCACCGCCAGCCCTTCTTCTCCTGTTGCCTCGGCCCCGTGTGACCAGGTCAGGGGCCTGGGAAAGGCCTGGGACTCTGGGGCCCTGGGATTCACAGCTGGACACCTTCAGCTGGCTCTGCCCCTCCCCAGCAGGTGCCACAGGGCACAGCGGACCCAGAAGACTGGTTTCCTTCCATCTGGACCAGGTCCTCCAGTGGCCTCCATGTCCCCCTCTCTGCTCCTGGTGTAACTTTTAGAACCAGGAGCTCCTGCTGGAGGCGTCTGTACTGGGCATCTTGTCCTCTCACCCACTTCAATAAATCATGAAACTGCCCTGCCGCTTGCTTCTTTTGTTTCCTTTAATCCCTGCCTCCCTCTGCACAGCTGGGTGGAGAGACCGTGGGTCACAGGGGCAGGTCTTTCAGTTTCCACTCACTGAGACTTTCTACTTCACACACTCCTGAGGCCTGACCTGGGGATGGGATGTAGAATTGCGAATTGCCATGGGTTTGAATGATCCCAAGTGCTCTGGGGGCTCAGGTTTCGGAGAGAAGGGAGCTGTTAGAGTTGTTGGCAGAGAAACGTTTGCACCAGGGCTTTGGAAGGATGAGGAGGGGCTGGACATAGAGACAGAGTCAGGCGCTGAATTTCTCCAGGAGGGCAGGAGAGCCCTGGGCTCTGGGGTGGTAGTACATGGGGTGAATTTAGGGAGAGGGTTTTGAGCAGGAGTAGAAGAGGGATGTAGTAGGAATAGCTGCCCTCGGGAGGACTCTGGGGGGTGTGGTGGGCAAAGGCCAGGTGTTGGGCTTACATAAGAGTTCATGGTTAGTCAGAAATCCAAAGTGTATTGTGACTTCCCTGGCGGTCCAGTGGTTAAGACCATGCTTCCACTGCAGGGGGCACAGGTTCGATCCCTGGTCAGGGAGCTAGGATCCCACATGTCATTGCAGTGTAGCCAAAAAAAGAGGACATGTTTTTGACCATTCAGCTTGTTCACTTTCAAATTATAAATGATGCTCACCCCAACCCAGCCTCTTAGGTCTGCCCTCCCCTGCCGTCTGCCACCCTTGCCCACCTGACCCTCAGCCCCAGGAGAGGTCTCCCACTGTCCAGGGAAGACACCTGGGGCCTCCTCATGGCCCATGGTCTGTGTCCACCCTCATCTCACACATCACACTCCAGAAGCACCACATGCTGAGCCATGCTACTACATAATATTCCTGACCACACCGCCACTTTGCGAGCCTGTGTACACGCCTGGAAACCCCCTTTCATTTCAGATGCTTGCCTGACTTGTGTCACTTCCTGCAGGAAGCCTTCACTGGCTACACCACCACCCAGCCTGGATTCCCTGCCCTTCCTTTCATTCACATCAAGAGTCGGTTTTGTGCACAGTGGGCTTCTCAGGTTCGATCCCTTGGTCAGGAAGATCCCCTGGAGAAGGAAATGGCTTTCATTCACATAAGGTCAATTGGGCAGGCCTAATTCTAGGAATTGGTAAATGGAAGAAGGCAGAAGAGCAAAAACCCCTGACTTTACGGTGCTTCCATTTTAGAGGACAGAGACAGACCATAAAGTATTAAAATGTCTAGTATGCTAGAGAAGGATTAAGGGAAAAAACAGTTGAGCAGAGAACTAAGACAGGAAGCCTGAGGGCAAGTTGGGGGTGTGGCCCTTTGATCTGGAGAAGGCCTCCCCAGGAGGTGTGATTTGAGCAGAGTGAGGGGCGCTAACCTCCGAGTGTTCTTGGCAACCTGTGCGCCAGCTTTCACAGCATGGACTGGGGCTGGGAGGCATCTTTCCTCTGGAATACAGGCCCGGGGAACTGCAGGATTATGGCTACTTAGCAACGTCAGCCATGTGCTGAGGGTGGCGGCCGAATCAAGCTAGTCAGACCAGGCTGTGTGCATCATGAGGGCAGGCTCTCCACTGTCAACTTGGGCCCCTTTGCCCCACCCCCATCCACAGACATCACCCACGGGCAGGCCTATCCTATGACCTGGTCAGGGAACTAAGATCCCATGTGCCATGCAGCGTAGTCAAAAAAGACATGTTTTTGACCATTCACTTGTTCACTTTCCAATTATAAGTGATGCTCACCCCAACTTAGCCTCTTAGGTCTGCCCTAGGTCGAGGACCAAGAGCAGTGCTAACCAAGCCAGGCGTGTTTTCCTTTTGGGCTGAGTGTGTCAAGCGTGCGTGCTCACTCTTGCAACCCTGTGGACTGTAGCCTAGCAGGCTCCTCTGTCCATGGGATTTTTCCAGGCAAGAATACTGGAGCGGGTTGTCATTTCTTACTCCAGGGGATCTTCCCAACCCAGAGATCGAACCTGCGTCTCTTGTGTCTCCTGCATTGGTGGGTGGATTCTTTACCACTGCGCCACCTGAGTGTGTCAAGAGCCTGAGTAACTGCTTGCAGGAACAAAAACAAAACGGGAAGAGATGGAGGATTTAAGTCCCTTTAACAGCAGAGTCCAAGACTTCTCTGGTGATACAGTGTTTTAAGCACCCACTTTGCAGTTAATGGGACCTGGGTTCAATCCCTGAGCTGGGCAGATTCCATATGCTGTATAGCAACTAGGCCCACGTGCCCCAACTATTGAGCCCGTGTGCCTCGGAGCCCATGCCCTGCAACAAAAACCACTGCAATGAGGAGCCCTTGCACCACAAAGTAGAGAAAGTCTGCGTGCAGCAACGAAGACCTGGCGCAGCCAAGAATAAAATAGAGCCCGGAGGTGCAGAGAGGTGAGCTCCTGTTGTAGGCAAGAGAGCCACTTCTGGAATTCTTACAGGGACAGGATGAGATTCCAATTTCTAAACCACATTCATACTCCACAAGGCCTGGCTCTGGAGTCAGAGCAGCTCTCAGACTTGATACGAGGCCTGGGGTTCAGCTTTCCCTGAATTTTTACAAGGTGTGGTTGGTCATGTGACCAAAATTCCCATCTTATTTTCTTCCTTAGAGCCGTTACATTCACCATCACTGTGCCATTAAATGAGTCTCTGCTGATAACAGCCTATAGTGTGTTATAAGCATAGTGGCTGACACAGGTGAGGAGCTCAATGTATATTTAATGAAGGATGAAGCCAGTGGTGGCCTGGACCACGGGTACAAGGAATAGTTCACCGAGGCCCCTCTGTTTCCGTCACCTCAACTGCCATGTCACCAGGATACCTAATTCCACCTACATTAGGAAGAAACCTAGGGAAATCATTAAGAGCCTGTTGAAGTCTTTTTTTCTTTTTGGCTGTGCCCTGCAGCACTCGGGATCTCAGTTTCCTGACCAGGGATCAAACCTGTGTCCCCTGCAGTGGAAGCACAGTCTTAACCACTGGATTGGCAGGGAAGTCCCAAGAGCCTGTTGAACTCTGATGTCCCTTAACTGTTGCGGGGCCTGGAGCACATTATTTTGCCTCCTTGAATCTCAGTTTCTGGCTCTGTAGTTTGACCATTATAAGGACCTACCACAAACAGTAATGATGAAACAAGATGATGCATGCTAAAGGCATAACACAGTACCTACCTAACACTGAGTGCTCTGTACATATCAGCTGTTTTTGATGAGTCTGTCTAGCTTGCTGATAGTTAAAAATGAATAACAAATATAAAATGTCATTATGACAGACTCATCTGTTAATGTGACACCATGAATACTTACTTCTGTGCAGGTCTGCAGGCATCCCAGTGGGGCTGGTGTTAATCATCCCTATCATGGAATGAACTTTTATTAAATTCCATGTGCTGTACTAAGTGAGCCTGTGTATATAATTACTTCACTTAATCTTCACAACCACCCAGTGAGGTAGACTTAATTATCCTCCATTTTATAAATGAGGAAACTGAAGCTCAGAGAAATGAAGGGACCTGTCTCCCTTCCAATGAGCAGCCCAGCTGGTTACCATCTCCTAGTGTATGAAGTAGTGAAAAATGTTGCAGGCTGATTTCATAAATAGCACAAGCATACGAGGTTGTCAGATGCTTGTTTGTACTGGAAAACTGGAAATTAGGATATTTTACTATTCCCTCCATCTGTTTCAAATTATTGCCTATTATCCAGTCTTCCTAAAATATTCCGCATTCAAACCACCAGTCTTGAGGACTGAACCTGTGAACCTGACACATACAGAGACGATGGGCATGTTTCAGCCAATGCCAAAATATTGTGTGCATCACCCTATGGTTGTGTCTGAAGCAGGACTCGTCCTAGCTCTTCCAAGCTTGAGGATACTTTTGCAGGGTATGACTGAAGTGACCCAAGAACCAGGATTAGGGTCAAGAAGAGCCATGAGGGCCTTCCCTGGTAGTCCAGTAAGAACCCACCTTCCAAAAAAATAAATAAATAAAAAGAACAAAAAAGGAAAAAAAAAAAAAAGAACCCACCTTCCAATGCAGGAGAAGCAGGCTCTATCCCTGGTCGAGGGACTGAGATCCCACATACCACATACTTGCAGCAACTAAGCCTGAGTGCTGCAACCACTGAGGCTGCACATTCTGGATGACTAGAGTCCCTGCACCACCATGCAAGATCCCACATGATGCAATTAAAATCCTGCATGCTGCAACTAAGACCCGGTGTAGCCAAATAAATAGTTTCTAAAAATACAACTAAAGTCAAGGTTATTTTAAAAAAAACAAAGAAGAGCTATGAACCTAACAGCAAGAAGCAGAGACATTACTTTGCCAACAAAGATCTGTCTAGTCAAAGCTATGGTTTTTCCAGTAGTCATGTATGGATGTGAGAGTTGGAATATAAAGAAAGCTGAACGCTGAAGAATTGATGCTTTTGAACTGTGGTGTTGGAGAAGACTCTTCAGAGTCCCTTGGACTGCAAGGAGATCCAACCAGTTCATACTAAAGGAAATCGGTCCTGAATATTCACTGGAAGGACTGATGCTGAAGCTGAAACTCCAATACTTTGACAACCTGATGCAAAGAACTGACTCAATTTGAAAAGACCCTGATGCTGGGAAAGATTGAAGGCGGGAGAAGGGGACGACAGAGGATGAGATGGTTGGACGGCATCATTGACTCAACGGACATGAGTTTGAGTAAACTCTGGGAGTTGGTGATGGACAGGGAGGCCTGGTGTGCTGCAGTCCATGGGGTCACAAAGAGTCGGACACAACTGAGCGACTGAACTGAACTGAACTGAACTGAACTGACCAGAGGCCCTGGTGAAGCCACTGGTGGGAGTTATACATAGCAGAATCAAGCCAGGAGAATGGAGAGCTGGGAAAATGTAGGTTCATTTGTCCCTGCAAAAAAGAGCTGAGAATCGGAATACAAGGATCAACAAGAAGGTTTCTGCCCTCGGGGCTTCCCTGGTAGCTCCGCGGTAAAGAATCCGTCTGCCAATGCAGGAGACATGGGTTCCATCCCTAATACAGGAAGGTTCCATATGCCATGGAGCAACTAAGCCTGAGTGCCTCAACTGTTCAGCCTGTGCTCTAGAGCCCAAGAGCTGTAACTGCTGAAGCCCACGAGTGCCCCGGAGCCTGTGCTCTGCAACAAGAGACACTATTGCAATGAGAAGCCCACACACCACAGCTAGAGAGCAGCCCACAAAGCAACAAAGACCCAGTACAGCCAAACATAAATAAATAAAATTATATATGTATATAAAAAAGAAAGTGTCTGCCCTCCCAGGGATCACATACAGCTTTAAGTTCTATTTCTAGGTATTTATGGAACAGTCACTGTGTGCGGGCCTGGCTCTAAGATGCACACAGAAACCCTGAGCAAAGCTGAGGCGGGGCCTCATGGAGTGTACAGTCTAGAACATTACATGCCACACATGTAATTGACAATTTAAACAAACAAACAAAAAAAAACCTAAAATTTTCCTAGGCACTGCATTAAAGAAATAAAAAGCAGATGAAATAATTTTAGTGATAGACTTTATTTCATCCACTACATCAAAAAATACTGTCATTCCAAAATTATAATGAAGGTTAAAAAATGATTGAGATGTTTTCTTTTTTTTCCCAAACTCAGTCTTGGAAATCTGGTGTACATGTTACGCTTACAGCATGTCTGGGTTATGCTTATAGCACGTGTGGCTGGTGGCTTCAGCACAGATCTAGATGATGAGGGGCTCAAGGCTAATTCCATCAAAGAAGAGTGTTGCAAGCATGCCTCCTTTACTGGAAGACCGCTGCATCTTGTAGGGGCTTAAAAGAAGCTGCTCCAGCCTGGGTTTGCCATCCCCTGGTGTCCCTCTTCCTTATCTAGTCAGGGTGGGGCCAGGTACAAATCAGGCATGCCTGATGGAATGCCTGAGGCATGTTCCTGAGCTTTCCTGCGGCAGGATGCCAAGTTCTGTAGTGCTAGCCCAGCATAAGCCCTGCCTCCCAGAGTTAACCTCAGTGGGCCCGGAATGTGTTCATTCAGTCAGTTACCACTTGTTAATTGAGCACCTACTAACTACCAGCCTCTGTGCTAAGTAAGCAGTGGGAACACACACCGGTGAACATAGATAGCTGACAGCTCACAGTCCCATCATGATAAACAAGTAACCCACAAATGAAGAAAACATTAAAAACTAAGACAGACTTTCCTGGTGGTCCAGCGGCTAAGACTCCAAGCTCCCAACATAGGGGCCCGGGTTCAATCTCTGGTCCAGGGAACTAGATCCCACACTGCCACAACTAAAGATCCTGCATGCCACAACTAAGACCTGGCACAGCCAAATAAATAATTAAAAAAAAAAGATCACTAACTTGGGAAACAATGCAAAAAAAGAACAAACTATAAGAAATGCTATGGAGGGCAAATGACAGGTGCTGTGAGTCTAAACAGGGATACCTGACCTCTTGGGGGTCAGAGAAATTCTCTTGGAGGAAGTAGAATTAACTGGGCAGAGGAGGAGTGATCTATGTGCAAAGGCAGTGTCAGGGATGCTGGGAGGTGCTCTAACATGGCCATTGTGGATAGTGAGCGCCACAGAGGTTTAGGGCAGCCACCTGGAGTGGATGCGAGAGCCCTGGCTTCAGAGTCACACAGACCTGGTGCAACTCAGCCAGAAACTTGGGTGACAAGTTTCAACCTGTCTGGGCCCCAGTTACCTCCTTTAGAAGGACATGCATGCGTGCTCAGTTGTTTCAGCCGTGTCCAACTCCTTGTGACCCCATGGACCGTAGCCCCCCAGGCTCCCCTGTCCGTGGGATTTTCCTGGCAAGAATACTGGAGTGGGTTGCCAGGCCCTCCTCCAGGGGATCTTTCTGACCCAGGGAGCAAACCCATGTCTCTTCTGTATCCTGAATTGCAGGCGATTCTTTACTGCTGAACCATAGGGGAAGCCCTTAGAGGGACATGGTGAAGATTAAACAGAGTGATGGATGACTCTTGATATACCAGCTGCCCTACCTCATTAAATTATTGACCCTTCTTATTATTTATTGAAGGGTCTTCTGCACCATATCAAGAAGATGGCCAAGTTTTGTGTTTGTTTCCTGGTCTTGGGGGCTTTGACAGGAAGATGTCCTGGAGAAGAAAATGGCAACCCACTCCAGTATTCTTATCTGGAAAATTCCCTGGACAGAAGAGCCTGGTGGGATATAGCCCATGGAGCTGCAAAGAGTCAGACATGACTGAGCATGCACACACGCATCACAAAGGGGACTGTGGAGTTGAAAGTTCTATATTAGAAGTGTTTGGAGAAGTAGAGGCAGAGCTCTCCCCTTTAATTTTTTCCTGACTTTATTTTTACTAGAAAATTTGAATGATATGATTAATAGGCTTGACTTTTAAAAATGAACATTTTATTGGGTTGACCAAAAATTTCATTCAGGGTTTTTCATAAAAAATTATGGGAAAACCTGAATGAACTTTTTGGTCAACCCAATGTTTTTGAATAGTTTTAGATTTGCAGAGAAGTTTAAAACCTAGTACAGAGCGTTTCCACGTATCCTTTACCCAGGTGTTCCTAATAAGCACATTTGTCAAAATTAAGAACTTAATATTGGTATTAAATACCATTAACTGAACTCCAAGCTCAACTTGGTTATCCCCAGTTTCCCCACTCATGTCCATTTTCTGTTGTTGTTGTTGTTCAGTTGCTTGGTCATGTCCAACTCTTTGCAACCCCATGGACTGCAGCACACCAGGCATCCCTGTCCTTCACCATCTCCTGGAGCTTGCTCAAATTCATGTCCATTGAATCAGTGATGCCATCCAACCATCTCATCCTCTATCATCCTTTTCTTCTCCTGCCCTCAATCTTTCCCAGGATCAGGGTCTTTTCCACTGAGTCACCTCTTCACATCAGGTGGCCAAAGTACCAAGATCCAATCCAGAATATCACATTATATTTAGTCATTATTTTTGCTTATTTTCCTTAACCTCTAATCTGAAAGAGTTTCTCAGTCTTTCCTTATTTTTCATGGCCTTGACTGTTTTTTTGAAAAGTGTTGGTAAAAGTATTTTGTAGAATGTCTCTCAGTTTGGGTTTTTCTGATGTTTTCTCATGATTAGACTGGAGTTATGGGTTTTGGGAAAGAGTATTACAGAGGTGAAATGCCACTCTCATCATGTCATATCAGAGAGTACATGACATCAGCATGCTTTATCACCTTGATTACTTGGTTAAAGTGGTTGCTGCCAGACATCCCCACTATTTTTCCCTATCCATACTCTAGTCTTTGGAATATAGGCTTAATTTTGATAGATATTTTAGAAAACATATTTAGAAATATATGCTCAACAATGAGAGAGTTTATCTCTTTCTCAAGCACATTTGGAATATTTACAACTACTGACCACGTTATCTGGTGCAAAGCAAGTCTCAAATACCAATGCATCAGAATCACACAGATTAGAATATGTGACTACAACATAAAGACACAAAAGCAAAACGTCAGGGCTTCCCTGGTGGCTGAGTGGTAAGGAGTCTGCCTGCCAATTCAGGAGACATGGATTCCATCCCTGGTCTGGGAAGATTCCACATGCCGTGGAGCGGCTGGGCCCATGCTCTAGAGCCCAGGAACCACAACTACTGAGCTCACGTGCCCTAGAAGCTGTACTCCACAACAAGAGAAACCAAAGAGAAGCCCGAGTGCCGCAGCTAGAGGGTAGCCACATGCACAGCCAAAACAAACAAAAAAATAAAGACAATACCTTAAAAAAAAAACTTTAGACAATGCTTAGACTTTAACCATAATGAAAATAATATATAGCAAAACTTGTGGAATGCAGCTAAATCGGTATGTAAGGAGCAAGTTTATAACTGCAAACAACTTCATTGAGAACTTCTCTCCAGTAAAGGGAACATGTGACTCAGCAGCCAGTAGACTTCCCTGCACTGTGGACAGGAGTGTGGACAGGAGTTCAGAGGGTTGCTCCCCAGTGTTCTGGTCTTGGGCACTCCACCGGGACGTTAGCCTGGAGAGCCCTGACAGAATCAGAACCACAGTAAAACAATGAGATTGAATTGCCCACCACGTCCGAAAAGTGGAGGTACAGAACAGATTCTTTTCAATTTTACAGAGAAAAGGGATGAGATGTGTTCCCTATCGTAGCTTTGTGAAGTAAGTTGGCCTTGTGGTTTCTGTCAGAGGTGTTAAGGGAAACCAGAGTTTATGTTATATTTGATTTAGCTCCGCTAAAGACATTGCTTTGTTGGGAGCAAGCGATTTATCATCTAATAAAAGCTGTCCTTTCCAAATCCAAGACAGACAACTTCCCAGTAGTGAAAAAAGTCACACAAAAATACAGGTTTAACCTCTTTTTAAAATAAGAATTTCTGAGTAATGAAGTTTGCTCCAGTGTTACAGGTGTTGCCAGTAAGTGCTACCTTTTTTCAGAATGTGCCGCCTCCTTATAAACATCTCACCACTTCTAATAGACCCTCTGCGGGTTCTGCTCTCACAGGTTTAGCTGTGTTCTGCTTGAGGCGAGTCAAGACTGGGAAATACAAAGCTTCACAAAGACATCAGTGGGAAGAGTGCGCTGGCATTGCAGAGCAACATCTCAGAAGTCCGCAGAGGAGACAGGCATGGCCGCTTTTGCCAAAGGGAGTGAGGTGACCATGCCGGTGGCCAGCTGGGGAAGAGGCTGCAGAATACACAGAGTCAAGGCCATCAACTGCCCTTCTCTCCACTGCTCTGGCTGCAGTAGGTCAGAGAGGCAGTGTGGTCTGAACAGAGCAGTGCAAGCCAATGCCTGGGCCCATGCTTGCAGCTCAAGCATCTGCAGGGGACTGCTGGTAGCTCAGAATCTGAAACCCAGCCTGGTTTCAATGTGAGTGAGAATCCTCAAAATGCAGCATGTTAAAGCCATTTTGGCAGCCCAATCTTTCACAAATTGGTGAAAAAATTACTGCACCAGATACCAAGAGTGAGGTCCTTACCAGGCTGTCCACTTGGAACCACAGCTGGCTGTAAGGTTCGTGACATAAGTCCTGGAGTATCTCAGGGCATCTGGTCAACCCACACATACGTGAGGGAAGGGTGAGGGGTAAGATAGAGGGTCGAAGAGTTCCTTAAAGAGAAGAAATGGAGAATGAGACCCATAGGGGATGGATGTGGTCTGGGACTGCTTAGTCCTGCTTGGATGGCCCTCCTGGCACTGGTCAGTCCCCACCACTGGAGGGAGCCTTAGAAAATTTCAAGTTAGAAATTTCTGGCTAACAGACCCCTCGTGGGGACTGGTCTAATTGGGGCACCTGACCAAGATGGCATTGTTGGCCTAAGAAAAGCACTTAGAAAAATTTGAGGAATACCATTCCAAAATGAAGTACTGCTTAAAGCACAGGGTCTGGGGCAGGGTACCCCTTGCTGTGCTAAGTCGCGTCAGTTGTGTCCAACTCTTTGCAACCCTATGGACTGTAGACCTCCAGACTCCTCTGTCCATGGGGATTCTCCAGGCAAGCCATGCCCTCCTCCAGGGGATCTTCCCAACCCAGGGATCGAACACGTGTCTCCTATGGCTCTTGCACTGCAGGCAGATTTTTTACCGCTGAGCCACCAATGAAGCCTGGGGACTTCTTGCCCAGGTCTAGTAATGGTTACTACCACTACCAATGAATATTATTCATTAAGACTTTAATAGTCCAGCAAGAAAGTGGGTTCAGTGCTGAGCCAATGGATTTTCCACCCACTCACCTATCTATCCAATAAATGTTCACTGAGCACCAACGCTGTGCCACTATTGTGTTGGGTTCAGGAGAAATACAAGTGGGTCTTCTCAACCATTATCTACACCAAGCAAGTTCAGCTCAACTAAAAAAAGGAAAAAAGGAAAAAAGAAAAATTGGCTACAGACAACATACTTCTCATACATCTGTTCAGTTAACAACTTTTCTCAATTATGGCTCTTGAAAACTGTCCCAGTTACTATGATTCCATACAATTTACCCTAAAACTTAGTGGTTTAAGACAATGACAATATTTATTTTGCTCAAGAATCTGCTGTTTGGGCTGAGGTTCTCTTGTCTTTGTTCTGCTTGATTTTAGGTGGGCTGGCTTGAAGCCTGGGGACTGGAATCATTTGAAGGCTTCCTCATTCACATGTCTGGCCATTGATGTTGTCAGCTGAAACATTCTCAAGTTGTCAGCTGAAACATCTCCATATGCTCTCTTCCTGTGGTCTGAGCTTCCTCCCAATATGGTAACTGGGTTCTGAGGGTGAGCATTGCAAAAGAGGGCAAGCCAGGTGGAAGCTGTATCCTCTTTATGACCTAGCCCCAGAAGTCACAGAGTATTGCTTCTGCCCTATTGGCTAGAACAGTCACAGCTGCCAGCCAGACTCAAGAGGAGGGAGTATGGATCCCATCTCTCAGTGGGAAGATGTTAGTTACATTGTAAGAAGTACTGGGGGATAGACTACGTATATTGGTGTCATCAATTTAGGAAAAAATTCTGCCAGAAAAGTTGATGTAACTGCTCCATTTCAGTTTCAGATGATAATTCCCCACTTTATTCTACTTTTATAGTTAGATTTACAATGGAGAACCAATCTGTTTTGGAGAATCCAAATGTTTTTTCTACATAGCATTTCACATCTCTTCAGTCTATTGTGTATGCATACTTTTCCCCACGTTTCAAAGTGTTCTGATATTTAGTCTTCATTTTCCCTCAAGGTGCCTTGTGTGTGCTATAATTTTATGTTGGTTTAAGAGAAACCCTTAAAGTTTTTTTTTAAAAACTGATTATGAAAAAGGTGCAGAAATATCACCTTTAAAGAATGACTCATGTGCATCTTTCCTCCACCTCCCCTGCCCCCACCTAATATTAAATCTTATCTTCTTGGTCAGTGTATTAGTCCTTATACCTTACATTTTATGTAGAAGTCATATTCTTAATTTTATTTATTTATTGCTTATGATTTTTGTTTGCATTTTTCATTGCTATATATATGTTTTTTATTTTTATTAGTTGGAGGATAATTACTTTACAATATTGTAGTGGTTTTTGTCATACATTGACATGAATCAGCCATGGATTTACATGTATTCCCCATCCTGATCCCCCTTCCCACCTCCCTCTCCACCCAGTTCCTCTGGGTCTTCCCAGTGCACCAGGCCCATATTAAAATATTTAGGTGTCTTGAGTTGGAATTAAACATATTTTTTCTCATCAAAATTAATGGAAATGTAATTTTTTTCATTTATCAGCTTTTCACTTAGAGGCAGAACTTGCAGGAATGAATTAAAGTCACCAGGTAGGAGACAAGATTATTTTCATCATCTCCCCAAAGGCTCTGACAGGTTCCCAGTCCTCTATGTCTGTCATTTTTCCCAGTTTCTATCAGACATCGCTCTTCTAATTTGTCACCTCCATTATTAGCCCCTTACCTGTCTGTTATATTACAGGAGTTCCATATTTATTATGTTAGGAATGAGTCTGATTGAAAGTAACCGATAACTAAAAAAAAATCGTGATCTAAATAAGAATCTCCCCCCACCCCCCACCCATTCCCCTATAAAACAGGAAGGCAGTCCAGGGTTTGTGCAGCTGCTTGAGTATGTCCGAAACCAGGCTTCTTTTGTCCTTCTGTTTCACCTTCCCTAGCACAAGCCTCCTCATGGTGCCAAGATGACTGCTGTACCTCCAGGTGTTGTGCCTCAGTTCCAAGCATGAATTAGGGGAAGGGTGAAGCTCACAAACTTCTCCAAGGAGTTCCTTTTTATTCTGAAAAGGAAGCTCTCCCTTGAGACTTCTACCTATTATCTTATTGGCCAGAACTTTGTCTTACTGCCACTCCCAACTGCAAAAGAAGTTGGGAAGTGTGTGCTTTGCTTTCCAGGCTCTGTAGTTTAGAAAAGCAAGTTTAAGTGCTTGGAATAAATATTGAGAGCCTCTCATAACATTTGCCACGCGGTGTTTAATTGAAATGTATAGCTATGATTCACAAAGTGACCTAGATATAGCTCTCCTCTAGCTACTTTCGTGTGTGTACAAAATTTTAAACACTCTTCTCTTTTCTTTCTATGAGGATTCCACTTCCTTTGTCACTCTTTGCTCCATGGTCTCCTCTGAGGGTAAGGAGGAGGAGTCAGCATCTTCTGTGCTCCATTCTGCTTTTTGCAGATGGTGACTGCAGCGCTATTACCCTGATCCCCACCTCTCTGAATATCAAGGACAATCTCAAGGCCAGGTTCTCCCTCCTCTTCTCTTCCAGCCCAAGTTTCCTCTTCTACACCCTCAAGGCATTTGAGCTGTATCTATCTAATGGCATTTATCATTTTCTTCATTGAAGCTGAAACCAAACGATTGGAAGTGGTACTGTTGACGAAACGTGTGGTGCATTGTAGGTGCTCAAACTGGTATCTCTTGCTATTATCACTACTAGTAATAATGATACTGCCTTTACCAGACTCAGCTCCTTAACGACAGGCTCTGAAGTTGACGTCTGATTCATCCTGGTAACTCACATCTGGCCTGGAATTGTGCATTGCTCATAATGCTATAAGGGGGCGGGGGGGGGGGGGTAAAGGCCGCATTTCAAAAGAAGGGTGCTGTAATGGTGGGACGTGAGAAATTCCTGGAACCTGAGTAGGAGCTAGAAACTTGCAGAGAAGACCTTACTTCGTTCGCATCAAAACCAGGCAGAGTTCCGACTGATTCGTACAGACGCAGGTGGACCGCCTCCACGCCCGTACTGCGATGAGGCAGGAGTATCCGTCACTCCACTCCTGGTCTTCCTGATCCGGAAAAGGAGGAGGGACTATGTCCCGCGCGCGGCGATCTGGGATAGCTGCGCACGCGCAGCTTCCGGCTCCGTGTCTTGGGAATTATTTGACGCCGCCGTCTGGGACCCACACAAGTCTCTGATCAGGCGCGCCGCGCACGCGCAGTGGCCCAGTCGGCTCGGGGAGTTATTTGACGCTGCCGCCCCTGGCAGTCGGAAGTTGCCTGAGCAGATCCCAGCCGGCCGGCCCGACTGGCCTTCGTCGTCCCCGGGCGCCGTGGGAGAGTCGCTGACGAGTGCACAGAACGACCGCCTGAGGACAGCCGGCCAGGGCAGCGAAAGCGCCGGTCCTATGGCGCGGGTGGCGTGAGGCGGAAGGCCGAGTGCGGCCGGCGGCGGCGCCCACCCCAGCGATGCGGGCCCCGCCCGTCGCCTCAGGTAAGCGGGCGGGCCTCCAGGTTTCGGCCAGACCCTCCCCTCTTCTCCCCTCAGGCTGGTCCAGGGATGTCTAAGCCTTGTTTCTTGGTCTCGGAGGCTCTAAGGGCCCGGCCTTCGGAAGCGCATCTCATTTTTTGGGAGGAGGGGGACTCACGAGGTCCGGGGGAGCTTGGCCTCTGTCGGGTCTGCTCAAACCCGGGGTGGCTCTTGAGAGCTGCCCTGGCCGGGAGAAGCTCTTTCCTGGCAGCCTGGGGGAGGAGGCGGGTCTGGAGCGGAGCTGGACAACTCCGGCGAAGAATCTGGTCCAGCAGCAAGGTTGGTCGAGTGGCTGCCGCCCTGTGGGGACGATGCTGCCCATTGCATGGTGACTCTCGAGGAGGAAGAGTTAATAATGAAGATGAACAAGTAGTCCTTCTTTAGCGCTTACTATACGCCGGGCGTTGTGCCAGGCCATTACGTTCACCCCATCCAAGTTAACAACAACCCGGTAAGGGAGGATGATTATCCCCATCTTCCTGATGAGGCAACTGAGGCCCGTAATGGTTAGGTGACGTCTATGCCCAAGGTCACAGAGCTGGTAAATTTGACTCCAGATCTAAGTTCTTAACTATTAGGTCAGTGGCTCTCCAACTTCGCTGCACGTAAAAATGACCTGGAACAGCTTTTTAAAGATTTATGACGCACAGGTAACAGAGCCAGGCCAATTAAGTCAGCGTGTCTGGAGGGCGGGGGGGCGGGGACGACTCCAGACAGTATTTCTTAAAGATCCGCACCCCCCCTCCCCGCCATGAATTCAGTGTGCAGCAAAGTTTGGGAACTGCTAGATAATTTTGCATCTCAAGAAAACGTTTCAGTGTTTCTCCAGTTTAAGTGTGTAGGAGAATCTTCTGGGACTTTTTTTTTTAAACTCTGGTTCCACCCGCAGATAATCTTTTCATTAGGCTCATTGCACCTTGTGAAATCCTATTGGGGGTGGGAAGTAACTTTCTGTGCAGGATTTCCTAGTCAGCTGGACCTGTTAAAGTGGGTACATCTCCTGCAAAACTGTTACCTTGCAATTTTCCTAGATACACAGTACTCACGGATATAGTGTCTCTGATCCCAGGGTGTTGTTTGCATATGTTGTTCTTTGCCTAGACTGTCCTCTTTGGTTTCTCCCTGCGCTACCCAAACACACACACTTCTGCTCTTTCTTACACACGTGCATGGAGCCTTTCCTTCCTGTCTTTGGCTGCATAACTCCCAGCGTTTTTAACCTTCAGGATGCCTCTATCTGTGACCCTTCCCCCCCAACCCCTCACTCCCAACAACCTTTCCTATCTGCTCCTTAGCATGATCCTAATGAAATTTACCAATGATCTTTCTATGCCATGTTTCTCTCTCTTCTGCTAAGATTGTGAGCGACATGAACCATCTTTTCTCATCTCTGGATTCCTCCCAGTGCTTTGACATACAGTCTCAACAAAGGTTTTACTGAATGGAATGTCTGAGTCCCTCTTATGCCACATATTGCATGCGGCAAGCAGATCCTTCTCTATTTTCATTTTTGAAAAAGGTGTTTGGTAGTTCTTAGTCTACAGAGTTTTGCTCTTTTTTTGCTTGAAAATACTCTAGTTAGGTTAATTAATTTCCCCAAGTTGAATAAACACATTGCATTCTTAGCACTCAAATTGCACTAAGTTGCACACTTAGCACTTAGGGATACACTTGAAAGGACTACCTGCAGTCAACATTGGTTGATTTTTAATATCTAGTTTTATCACAAGCAGATACAATCAGTTCTGTAGTGGAAACCTTTTTATTACTCTTAGACCTTTGTCTGTGTTCCCTGCTGAACACTATGCTGTCCAAAGTAAGTGTTTGGTTATCATCCACTCAGTGTAATTGGGCTTTCCTGGTGGCTCAGAGAGTAAAGAGTCTGCCTGCAATGCAGGAGACCCGGGTTCGATCCCTGGGTCGAGAAGATCCCCTGGAGAAGGGAATGGCTACCCACTCCAGTATTCTTTTCTGGGAAATCCCATGGATAGAAGAGTCTGGCAGGCTACCCTCCATGGGCTCACAAAGAATTGGGTACCACTGAGCAGCTTAACACTTTCAAATGTTACTACCTTGTTGGCACTTGGTAAATACTAATAGATGGAAGTGCTGTTGGTAGTTCATCCTATTACTGGGAGGGAGAATTTAAGAAATACTTAACAAAGATTGAAACCTTGATGTCAGAAGAATTGACAGTATATATTTATTACAGAATGCCTGAACTGCTATTGTCCAACATATTTACAAATTATAAAGGAAGGCAGGCTGGTAATTCAGATTATATTTGTTCTTGGCTCGTCTTAAAACCATGTAAGGTTTGTAAGAGTGAGTATGTGTGTGAAGGTCATTATGAAGAGGTTTTTTGACAATAAAGATTTTATTGCAGTTAAATATGGTGAAGTATATGGACTGAATAAAAAGCACATTTCATGTAATGGCACTCTTTTTACGTTATACAGATTGTTATAGAAAGATTTTCTTGGTTCAGTTTTATATTGTTTTCTCAAATTTTAGGCTAAGGCAAATGTAGAAACTGATGGATAATTTATGTTAAATCCAGATACTCAAGAAACTTGCCCTTGTTTCTCTGATAGATGTCGCAGAGTATCCCATTCTGGCCTCAGCACATGAAAGAAACTTAATCTTTAAGCCTCAGGTTTAAGTCTCTAGTTGATCCCCAAGAAAAGGTGAAAAACTACAGACTCAGTTAAAGACCAAAAGTGACTGTAATCATGAGAGCCTAAGGACTAGAAATGATTCTTTTAAATATGAGGTACCCATCGGAGTTAGTAGATGTATTGCCTGACATCTGTAAAGACCTTTCAGATAGAATACATTGTTTTCTTTGGTGCAAGCTGATTAAGAGTTTTAGAATTAAGGTACATGTTTTTATAGATGAAGAAAGTAGGTAACTTGCTCAGGACTACATGGTTGGCTGTAGCACATCCAAGACTAGAATGCAGGTCTTCTTGCTCTGTACACAGTATCCCCTTCCACCCTCACGCCTCTCGTAAGAGGATGTCTTGTTTCTTGTGTGTGTGTGTGTTTTGGGGATGGGGAAGTGGACAGAGTAGTGTGCTATGTTTGAGATACTAAGTTAGATAAATAGTGAGTGCTTTTCATTGTATGACATGTACTTTGCTGTATAAACTGGGGATGTTACGATAAATACGACACAGCTCCTTTCCTTCAGGAATCTATAGTCTAATAAGGGTTGTAATAAAAGTAAAAGTGTAGTATCTAAGGCAGCTTTGCCAAATAGAAATTTCTGGAACTGTTCTATATCTGCACTGTCCAATGTGGTAGCCATTAGCCACATGTGATATGGAGGACTTGAAATTTAACTAGTGTAACTGAACTGAATTTGTAATTTAATTCAAATTTAAGTAACATATAGTTATGGTTACTATATTAGAGCAAGTGTGAGACATCAAAGATGAGCGTGAGCATTGTGGTGGTGATGGGGATAGGCAGAGTATTCTTTGGGGGGGCAGTAGTAGACTAGCAAAAACTACCTGTTTTCACTTTTCGGAAGGAATGCAGGCAGAACTTGTCTCTCTCTCTTGTAATTCAGGCATGTTATAGGATCCCTAACAGTGAGAATCTGGTGTACAGGTGAATACATTCCTTTTTGGCCAAGGTTGATTGATATTTGCCATAGAGGTCAATAGGACTACAACAGAAATATGAAATATGTTCTTTTTGTCTTTGTTAGTTATAAAAGTTCTATGCGTGACCTTGAACACATGTATGTGCCTTAAAATCCAGCATTTATTTACTCAGCTCATTTATTCAGTGTTTTGGCAGCCTATACCCTATTTTTCCTTAGAGAAATAAAGCATGCCTGATAGTGTCTATCTTGAATTTGTATTACTCAGAGTATGTTGACTTACATTGCTTTGTTTGATCCTTCTCCTGAGTCACTGTAGCTAGGTACTGCAGGTATTCTCCCTGTTTTAGAGGTGAGGAAACTATGACAAAGAAATGCCAAGTGACTTGTCCAAGGTCATATGGTGAGGTGCAGAATCCGAACAAAAGGAGCATTGGACTTCGCAGCAAGAGGTGGAATTTCTTGCCCCAGCTCACTTGTTGCTTGATGTGAGTGAGCAAGTCGTAGTGGCTAGTGACATCTGTCTTCTTAACTTTCTAGGCTTGTTACGGAATTAAAGTGAAGTAACGTGAGAACTTTTTGAAAATGGTCAATTGTACAAAGGTGCATTGTTATCCAGCACGATCTGCAGTAGTTTTTTTGTTGTAGGCTGTTCCCTTCATAAATCATCACCTCAGTTATCATATTGAATATTACTGTATCATGGATTTATTCATTGTGTGTTTCTCTTCTTCACTATGAAACTTTCTTGAGCAGCCATTGTGTCATATTCATATTTGCCTCCCTACATGTTAGGACAATATCTGATACATAGCAGGTGTTTTATAAATGTTTGTTCAATGAAATAACTGATGCATGAATTTATTTTACAAAGTTAAAAACAATTGTTTTCTGTAATTAGA